ACTTTTCTCAGATATCATAGTTGTTAATTATACATGGGTTAGTCTTTGCTAAGTCCAAGTCTGATAGTACCATGTTGGTATGTTTATAATCTATTTCTTGGATGCATACTTATGTTGTCCTAATAAAGGTGTCAGTTTGTTCTTCTTCGGCAACCTCTAACTGCAACATCGCCTTTACTTCCCAGAACTTTAGTTGTTAGAAACACAGACCAACAGCAAGTGGGTCTTAACATGCAAAGGCAATCATTAACCATAACACTAGTCCTACTACATAAATAGTTGTTTATTAGCCTTTAAGGAGTTTAACATTAAAAAAAAAAGCCTGCGTATATTAAAAAATAGACACATCATTTTTAACCAACAGGGATTAGCCATATCTCAACAACACAAACATTTATAAAAAGGCAAGTGAGGAACTCTATGTCACAACTTAGGAAACAACAAATAGTAGGCAATTTGAGCTTTCTTCCAATATTCAGCGTGATGCGCCTACAAGTTCAGCCATATTTTGTTAACACCCACAGTTTTCTGCCCGATTATCACTTGCACATTACTAGCCAAATCGTCCCAAAGTGACCATAGTACTTACCATAACATTGGTTTCAGATGCCACTACGTGAAAAATGATTATTGGGAGACATATTTTTCCCTAAATCTTTTAAATAGACTAATACTATTTCTATTTTGACGTTAGCCATGTTGTCATCGTAACAGTTCATTAATTCAAACGGTTTGTCTATGTACAATTTCTTAGTCTTATCTGAGCCGACTTGAAGTTTTCAGCTCTTGCAAGAATACTTTTACTTGTTCACAAACCACAGCTGACTCTAATTAAATTAATTTCTCATATGTGTTACATGTTGTTCTATAGTTATTGGTATCTAATTGTTTTGGTATCTTTGCCTAACATTCTCTCTCTCCAACACTATTTCTTCCGTATATTTATTCCCCACCTCTCACTCTCTCTGTTTCCAACAGGCTTTCTTCTGTATATTTCTTTCCCCGCCTCTCTCTTTTTTTTCTCTTGCTCTCTCTTCTTCAGTGTACTTCTCCACCTCCCTCTCTATACCTCTCGTTCTTCTTGGGAAAATACTCAGACGATCGTGTTAAAGGGCGTTTTGAGGAGACAAAGAGAGCACAACAAAGGGAGTTGTCAAGTATAACTAATGATATCCTAATTATTTACACATTTTCTCTCTCACTCTAGCTCTCTTTCTCACTAGCTCTATACCTTAACCCAACTTACACTTTATAGTCTTATGTTTCGACACAAACGACAAAGAAGTCTGAGAAAGATAAAAATTACTACAATTAATATGGAAATACACAAAGAGTGAGAAAGGACGTATCAACATAGCGGTTGTGACCAACAAACAATGTACTAACACAAGTTCTTACATCTACATTCGGCCTCCTGCCGACCAACCGGAGAAGGGTCACACATTAACAAGAAACCACTTCACCCAGGGTTGGCTCACACATTAACAAGAATCCACTTCACCCAGGGTTGGCTCAAAAATTAACAAGAATCCACTTCACCCAAGGTTGGCTCACGCATTAACAAGAAACCACTTCACCCAGGGTTGGCTCACGCATTAACAAGAAACCACTTCACCCACGGTTGGCTCAGGCTTTAACAAGAAACCACTTCACCTAGGGTTGGCTAATGAAAACAAATGCTTATGTGCTTATATACTCACTTTCTCTTAAAATATGCTCATTATTATTATTATTATTATCCATGTACCAGTCTTGTTAAACGATGCAATATATATCTGTCATTGAAGGTTAGAAAAATAATCTTGCTTGCTACACAGAACTAATACATGCTGGAGATTGCAGACTGTGGAGAGGCATGATCACCCATGCCAGTCGGCAAGGCATTTGATGATGATGATGGAGCATTATCCAAATTCACCTCTGGTTTTACTGGTCTTTGTTGAAATCCGCATCGAGTCAACGTTTTCAAAAATGACTTTGGCTTCCACGTTGACCTAGACTTTTTTTTAAAACTAGGCTTTCAGGTCGGCACATCATAAAATGAGCACGAAGACATGTTCTGGAAAGTAAACAATCAAATAATCCACAGAGTGCAGACTGTAAAAATGTGGGGTAAGCAACTTCCTCTTCTGCGTTTGCCTTTAAAAGTGGCAGTTGGCTGTGTTTTTATTGCGTTTCTGCCCAAGACATCGGATTTCAGCAAATCCTTAATTCTTCTTCAGCCGTACCCCCATATTTTTAACTTCGCTCTCTAGCTCCCTTCTCCATGTGTTTATTGGTCTTCCTCTATTTCTATGCCCCTGTGGGTTCCAGTGCAAAGACATTCTAATTATATTGTTCTCAAGTTTTCTCAGCCTGTGTCCTATCCAGTGCCAGCGTCTTTTCTTCATCTCTTGGTCAGCCATTCAAAAACACTACAACAAAAATAGTATCAATAGTATTTATTTAGGTAGAGTTGTAAACAAAAACATGTCATATTTATAACATTCTCCACATGAATAAAGATGTGCCTGTACTCTCATCGGCGTAATGCTGACCACATTACCCACCGAGTGCTGATGGTCTGTAAAAATATGGGACGCTTTGCCCATATGCCCGATGCGCCGAAAGGCGTGAAAAGGGATCTTTAGTTTTTTTTTTTGGTACTCTCATACATCAATGATTTATACATGTTTTAGAAAACAATTTCCCTACACAGGAATTCGGTACCAAACATGCCAAGTACAAGTTTTGAATTCAATTACTAAATTGTGACTGCGATATGGAATGATTCTTTTTAATTTGTTTAGCAATGATAAACATTTGCTCTTAACTATAGCAGCAACATTCTGAACAGTTAAAACTTCTGACCAATTATATGTGTGCGTGTGCGCACACACACCCAAAAAAAAAAACACCAACAACACTGAGATAAAAATCAAAGTGTTTGACGATGCTCATTGTCATGAAATGAACAGCCACCACACACAGTGGACGAGTCGGGACCTAATATCCCTCGCGCTCAGCGAAATTTCAAACTTAGACCCGTCCGGAAAGGTATATAGTCCCTTATATTGATCTATACCTTTATCTGGTAAAATAGTAATTTCTGGACCTTCTAGTTGCTTTGATTTATCTTCATTTTCAAACTTGCAACTGTAAGTTGGCGATTTCTGGTGTTTTATTTGAAAATTCCTGGTAACCGGTTTACTCCTTGCTCATGTATACAAGGGAACTTCTTTTCTAGTAACGCCAAGCGTAGTTTGAAGCGAGCATTTTTCTGCCTGACTGCCTAGAGAACAGATGTGTTCAACGGGGCCTCGTAAATCTATGCTTTGAGGAGGCGGCCTTTGGTGTCTAGGACATTTCCTAAGCTTGGGTAAGTTAATTATAGTTTACGAGTACCATAAATGATGTCTTTTTAAAAGGGTCACTGCTGTAGATAGAGCGGTATCAGTTATGTGATCGCACAGAGTTTCGACCGTTCTTGATGTCCAGAGAACCGGATCTGATCCTTAGACCTTCCCCTGTACAGACTAATTAATTGGGCTCTACATAACCCACACCATTGGTAAAGATATTGAACCTTACAAGTATTTATCCTCTGACCAGGCAACAGAAGTTTGTGCAGTATTAACTGGGACAGAGAATATAGGTCAGTTTAATCGGCAGCTAGCGGGCTGCTTCGAGTGTGTTTGACACAGATCAATGGGTGTGTAGTGAATGGCCTGAGGAGACGGAAGATATATGGGTAGTGACTGTAAACATTGGTGTCTGTGTGCAAATGTGAAGGGGGAGAGAGAATGATCTATGTGTGATAGTGTCTATCTATCTCCACTATATATATATATATGACTTTCCATCTGTTACACTAGTTACAGACAGATAAATGAAAGGAGACATTGTCTCCTGGTCTTGAGAGTACACTCTGAGGAATTTAAAAGAGGAGCAGAGGTGGAGTAAGCTGATGTGTGATGAAAGCTGATTACTAATTCTGAGTTCTTTCCTGACAAGATGATACCCTCTTGGTGATTACTAATTCTGAGTTCTTTCCTGACAGGATGAGACCTCTGTAGAGATCACGCAGACGAATCACAGTCCAACCACCAACCAACACCAATTTATGTACCAAACATAACCATGTCATGGCAAGAGCATGTGTGTGAGCTCCAGGACGAGTGAACATTTGCAGAGGTTGTGTCATTGATCGAGTGAACCAGTCTTCAGGAGCTTGGTTGGGGCCCGAGACAGTTTTGTGACCTGTGAGAGAGACTTGTTGAGTCCCTATACAGTTTCTGTGTCCTCGATGGTGAGGTAATCCTTTGTGACCAGATCAACTTGAGGCAGAACTACCTGAGTCAACTACAGTCGAATCACCATGGACTGAGGGGAGCATCAACCTACGAACTGGGCTAAGTGACAGATTTTGTATCATTATCATGCTCTCTTCCCCAAAGCTCCGTGGTATTCCTGTGATGAACGCTGGTGTACGTCTCAAGGCAATCTGGCTGCTTCAATATCTGGGTCGTGTCACTGAGTCCTGAGTCTATGAACATTCTGGAAAATCTATTCTTCAATATATGTGTAGATAAATTGTACTTATTACAAACATTAATTTTCATGGCTGACTTAGGTGTCCCTGTTTCACCTTACTTATTGTTTAGCATTGATATGTGTGTGAGTAATAAGTGTTATATGTGTTAACATGGTTATGATAGTAGACTATCATAACCTGGGGGCTAATTATTTTTAGTAGTAGGAATGTCCAGCCAAGTGTGCCTAGGAATATTATATTTTGTTGTGCCAAAACTTGAGTTGCCCCACCCCAGAAATAAGTTGAGCGTATATTGGCCACGGGGCATCCCTTAGACCAATACGAGCCAACGACTCAACATAATTATTTCTGAGTGCTGTTGGTTCTTAAGGAGAAATCCTTAAATCAGGCACGTGACAGGAGTGACATGTGACACTCATAAAATCTCAACAGTAAAGGTTAAAACAAAATATTTCTATGGTGGGCATCAAGCAAGATCCTTGGACGGCCTCACATCTGATCTTGAATCTGCAATAATTTCAGCCATGTCTTTTTTATCTGTTCTATTTTCCAAAAGTCTTTTTACTGCCTCGTAGTTTTTCTTGGCCTAATGAATGGGGAAAACAAATCATTGTTAATAAATATAATTATAATCTGCATGATGGTGGCAAAATACTGGCTAATGGCCAGTAACACACTAAAAGCAAATGGACAGATGCGCTCCAAAAAACATGGAGCAACTGGCCCCAACAACACCCTAGAGAGGGCTGCAACCTATATCACAAGCGTTCTCTGTCTTGGAATGAAAACATAAATGTAAGACAACAAAGAAAGCAAACAACAGAGCGGGACACACCCGTAACCTTCAGGAAAGTCGACCAACCCATCAAACTTGTAAATGAAAAGTGGCCCTACTCTATTTGGGGAGAAGAATGTTACTTTAACTGAACTGAGAAGTCCTGTCAGAGAATTCATGAAACTTGTCTGAATGTCTTGTGACATGGCAGTGGTGGTCATGATTGAAAATAGGTTGTTGACTAGATCTGTAGTTGGCATTTGGTAGTAGCTGGTAGGCTGATACCTATCTTTGGTGACAGAGTGTGTCCAGTTTAGTTGTAGTTTTGTTGTATGTAGTCTGACACTGTTTGATCATCTATTTGTTGAAGTATAATTAATAGTTGTATATCAAGTTACCTTGACCGTTGTAATTCTTCCACAAGAATAAACATGATTATTAGTTGTTATTCTTTTATTCTGTCATTAGTTTATGTGTTGGTCTCTGTAGCTCTGTACTACTTTACTATACTGATACTACATAACACTTTTTGAAACCTCCCCTGACTATTACCTGATCGTCTGGGGTTTAGACTCATACTACACTCCCCCTTTTATCCTCTCATCCATTTTTTAACTATCATTCTTGTCTGTTTCTCTGTCCTTTTATACTCCCGTCTCTCTCTGTGCATTCTTTAATTGTAAACCCCAAACAGTTTCATTATGATAGAGTGGATGTTGCGAAAGCTCTCTGAGATCAAATGAACAGTGCAGCAGAATGGTCTGTTATATGTGGTGAGACTGATTCAGCAGGGAATAAGCAGAGGGTCTGGACAATTGTCTACCTGCAGGGAAAAGGACAGGTGAACTTTCAATAAATATGCTCCCCGTGTGGGTTCCGGGGCCCTATTATAGGGAAAACAAGAATAGACCTACTGCCTACCCAAAAGCATGTTGTAAGAGTTGACGAATTGGGAGCTTCCTTCGAAGTCAGAATGCATCTGCCTGAGAGGCAAGGAACCAGCAGTCTGCATACAAATGAGTCAGATCTGTCAAACAGATACACATGCAACACTCAGGTTCTGGAAGAGGACTGCAGTCTAGAAGTCGACGAACAACCAAAACTTTCCACCGGAGTTTACAGCTGGTGAATGCGAAGAAGAAGAAGAATCAAAATGCTACTGGCATCATCAGTATGGGAACTCTACATGAGGACACAGCATGTATGGAACTGTTCTGAGTGCAGCCAAGTTTTTGTTCATTCATTCATTGTAACTGGTATCCCTGGACTCAGGTCTAATCTGCCAATACTGACAGTCTTGGAAAGGCGGCAATACAGACCCAAAAACCATGCATAAAGCCCACCTACATGAACTTCTTAAAGAGAACTCTTGAATCCGAAAAAGGTTAACCCGGTAAACAAATACCTGATGAAGTCCAGATGCGTTGGCCAAAAGGCGCAAATATGGCAGCTTTGCTGTTAACAGGCACAAACACAAATTTAATTCATAAGAACAATGAAGAAAAATTCTTGAAAGTTGTTGAAAAAACATCTATGACATACAGAACAAACATATAAAACATAAAGGACTGTTTGTTTTACCTCTGCGCCTACAGATGCACTGACGCTCTTAAAGGCAGTTTCAAAGTGATCTTTATTTACTACAGGCATTACAAATGGATGGGTTGCATCTGTTGATTTAATAATCTGCTCCATGCAGGCCTCTCTAGCCACCTGCACCAGGTTTCCCAAATCGGCCCCTCTGTAAAAAAAAAATCAATACACTAAAACAGGAGATGCAAAGTGAATAAATAACAGATGCCTGTACAGAAATCAACAGTAAAAGGAATTTTTTTAAAAAGCAAAAACGTGATCATGCTTCAATCCAGCGGTTCTCAACCTGTGGATCGAACGACCCCTTCACATGGGTCGCCAAAGACCATAGGAAAACACATAATCAATTAGGCTATGAAGTAGCAACGAAAATAACTATGGTTGGGGGTCGTCACAATATGAGGAACTGTATTAAAGGGTCGTGGCATTAGGAAGGCTGAGAACCACTGCTTTAATTTGAACAAGATTAACTATTAAAGGATTGGAAGAACATTTCTGAGGCAGAGATTTCCAAATGTTGAGTGGCAGAAAACAGTTTTGTCCTTTTAATTCTGGGAAAAATATGTCATTATCATGTGCAACTTCAATATGAATGTGCCAAAAATGTGAATGGCACATAAAAGTCTTAAATAAATGGCAAATCTCATATAATCTTATATATAAATCTATGAGTTTTTTTTAATTTAAAGAACCAACCACGACCAGCTCCAGCTAACAGGCCGTACTGCTGACGTCACCGGGTCGGGCTAATGATGCATTAACGCAGCGGTTCTCAAACAAGAAATAAACTATTTTCGACAGTGGTGAGGAAAGACAACTTAAATTTTAAAGTATCTACATGCTTTTTTAAATAATTTCACAATTTTTAGCTGACTTTTCTTGATTACTGCTGTGGCACACCTGGCATACGCTCTTGGCACCCAGTCTGGGAACCGCTGCGTTAACCCATCGTTAGCCCGACCCGATGACGTCAGCATCATGGTCCGTCAGCTGGAGCTGGTCGTGAACCAAACACCCTTGCCACCAACCAACCACAGCATTTATTAGCTGTTTGTGGTTTTTACTGGGCAATTTTATGTTCAGTATGCTTCCTGATTAGTCAATGCTCATATCATTGTCAAATTCAATACAAAGTGGTCCCATGCCAAACCATTTGCAGCTGAAATGTCTTGGGCATGTTAGCATTATAAAACAGTGTTCACAACACATAAATAAGCTTTAAAAAAATCAAAAAAGCAGGTGCTGTCGCTACAGTTAAAATCGACTGCTCTGGATCTCCAACATGCTCTACCTCTCATCTTGGTTGCATACTCTCTCAGACTGCAGTTTATCCATCTCTTGATGTTGTACTCCGGCTTGTATATTGTCTACCTCTTGCCCTTTCTTTTCAGTATGGTTTTCAAAAGAATTTTATGTCTTTTAATGTGGCCAAATATTTCAATATTTCTTTAAGTAATTCTCTTTTCATTTGCAGTCTTCCCAGAGCCTGTGTATTTAAAGGTTTTTGTTTCCTTGGAATATGGCCAATTCTTACGTATATCCACATTTTCCCGACTCACTTCGGTTTTCTAGGTGCCTGTTCACTGTTCAAGTTTCTGCCCCCTACTGCAGGCTGAGTATACATAACATTTATCATAATTTCATCAAATGAAAAACAAAAAATGAGTAATTTAATACATTAAAACAACAAAAAGCAATATTTACGAGAAGCCATTGCATCTCCTGTCTTTGCCAATGTAGTCCAGATCAACATCGTCTGCAAGCTTGGGCCTCATACCATTCTGGGAAAGAACAATTACAATTTTAGGTGACATAAACTAACCAGCTGGTTCTAAAGATCTTTATGTCTTCTTCTTCTTCTTCTTCTTCTTTGCGTTCGGTTTCATATGCTCAGATCAGACCGTCATCATTATATCTGAAATACCACTCTCAGTGCTCTTTAAACAGTTCCAAGGATTGGATCAAATGGACAGAAATTTATCTGGCATAAATCAAGACTAGAACACTTTGTCTTGACTTCAACAATGGTTTATACAGCTGATCATTCAGAAAGCAATGGCAAACTAATGAGCATACAATTGTCTGGTAAAATCACAAACAGCCAAAAAAATGCTGAGGTTGGTTCTGCAATGTCCTGTAAAAGAAAACGCAACTCACTTTTAACATGAGACTGGTGAAACTAACAGCACAATCAACAAAAATGACATTTACAAAGAATTTAAATTTTACATATTACTAATATGTTAATCACTTTCTACTTATTCGCGTTCATTGGCTGTAAACTTAGCAGAAAGTTCTGGTTGTTCACCCACTTCTGGACTTTTGGTCTTGTTGCAGAACTTGAGTTCTGCATGCACATCTGTTTTACAGATCTGGCTTAACTGTATGCAGACTGTTGGTTCCTCAACTCAGGCAGATGCACTTCAACTTTGAAGGTCTGGTTTTCATCACCAGACATGACAAAATGGATGAAAATGCGCCGGTAATGAAAATCAAAAAAATTTCACTGAAAACATCACTTGTATCAGCTCAAAGCGATACTAATCATAGGCGCAGCCATCTTGGAAGAACAAAAATACTCGGATGAAGCTCAATTTGAAAACTACCGGTAAAGATGTCTGTTTGCAGCCGAATTCAGTCAGGAAAGTGTTAATCAGAGATCCAACATCGTCCTCTAGTTGTTCCCCTTCTGTGCCAGCAAAAACCACTCAGAATGTCCATAACTGTTACTACAAAAACACTGAAACAGATTGATCTATTATTTTATACCTTGGTATGGGCTTTAAGAATCTCAACTCTTCCTTCAGGGCTGGGCAGTCCCACATAAATAATTTTATCCATACGGCCTGGTCGTAACAATGCTGGATCCAGACAGTCTGCAAGCAAAATGTTAAACCAAAATTATATCAGTTTTAACTATCGCAGAAGGTAAAAGATAAAACTAAATTTTTTGTCTATCTTACAGTCATTTCATGTTCCACACAGATATCTATTTCTTCATCATGTGGGTTCCGGGATCCCACTGTGGGGGAGGGGGGGGGGGAGGACAAGAACAGACCCACTACCTCCCCAACAAGCATGTCCTGAGAGGTGACTAATTCGGGACTTCCTTCAAAGTCGGAGTGCATCTGCCTGAGCGGCAAGGAACAACCAACTGCAAACAAACAAGCCAATAAAATGGATGTTCACTCAAACCCTGGCACAAAGCCAAAGTCCAAGTGGACCAATAACCAGGACTTTCCGTCGGAGCTTACAGCCGGTGAACAAGGAAGAAGTAATCTCTTTCCTCTTCAACATTTGTCTCAAGACTTTAGAAAATGTGAAAAAATAAATACTTAAAACATCAACAAATAAAATAAAGAAGCCACTATCTGGTGATGTGCAGGGCAAGTTTAAGGGGTCTGTGACTTCAATTAAGTTTTTTAAATCTCAACTTTAAAATACAATCCTTTCTGCGATTCTATTATAAACTTTGGAGCCACCATGGCGTAGTAGCTAGACACTTACCTACAGATTGGAAGGTCAGGAGGTTCAAGTCCTGACGGAGCCTGATTTAATTTTTTTTAAATGACATTGGCTCCCAAGTTGACCCAGCTTTGAGTCATCATCATTATGTAGCCTGCTAACTGGCATAGGCACTCATGCATCTCCACAGATCACGATCCCTGGAACAGCTCTCTTGACGATATCCCTCCATGCCATCGTTATAGCCCATTCAGCATCATCTCTTGGTCTGCCTCTGCCCCCTTTTCCACTGATCTTTCCAGTTGTCACGATGTGCTCTAATGCCTCTCTTCTCATTATGTGGCCAAAGAATAGTGCTTGTCTTTTTCTTATTGTTGTATATAGAGATCTACTTTCATTAACTTCTTTCAGGCAATCGTTGGCCATCCAAGGTATTCGTAACATTCGTATCAGAAACCACATCTCTGTTGCGTCCAAATTCTTCCTAACGTTTTTACTGACATTCCAAGATATGCTGCCATACAGCATAATAGGTTCTATGTAACATTTTAGCACCCTCTTTCTGACATTAAATGGGAGCGATTTATTGCATAAGATATTTTTCATTTTCTGAAATGCAGCTTTTGCTTGACCTATTCTGCTTTTAATCTCTGCCACACATTTTCCATCTGGTGACATTATTGTTCTGAGTGGTCCAGATATATTCCTGGGAAGTAAAGGGGGCCAGCATGATGTTGATCACATCATCAACCAAGTGCTGATTGGTCTATAAAATATAGGTCTATTCTTATCCTTTACTTTTACTTACTTTTTATTATAAACTTGCTCGTTTTTTTATATTTTTTATAAGAGACTATTAAAAAGTGTGACTTCCGTGGCAGACCTTAAAAAAAAAATTAGGGGTCTGCAGATCTTACTTAGTTGAGAGAACCACTCTCTAGATGGTATCACAGAAGATGCACGATTGAGGACATGAGTGTTGAGTGCATATCTATTTTACAGATCTGGCTTATTTGTATGCAGACTACCGGTTCCTCACGTCACAGGCAGATGTACTCCAACTTTTAAAAAATTACCCCAAATAAAAAAAGTCACAAATAAATATTTTTTTTAATTAAAAAACAAATGGTGTACTTATGCTCCACCTTCTAATTCTGGTGTAGTGGATTGGCCATCATTCCACTTGGGCCACACACACACAAAAGAGGACCCATGCATTAAAAAAACAACTGCAGATTAGCTGCAAATAATGATGCCTATATGTTGAGCTCTATGATGCCTATATATATGTTGAGCTCTATGATGCCTATATATATGTTGAGCTCTATGATGCCTTATGTTGAGCTCTATGATGCCTAAACGTTGAGCTCTATGATGCCTATACATTGAGCTCTATGATGCCTATACCTTGAGCTCTATGGTGCCTATACGTTGAGCTCTATGGTGCCTATATGTTGAGCTCTATGGTGCCTATATGGTGAGCTCTATGGTGCCTATATGGTGAGCTCTATGGTGCCTATATGGTGAGCTCTATGGTGCCTATATGGTGAGCTCTATGGTGCCTACATGTTGAACTCTATGATGCCTATATGTTGAGCTCTATGATACCTACATGTTGAGCTCTATGATGCCTACATGTTGAGCTCTATGATGCCCATATGTTGAGCTCTATGATGCCCATATGTTGAGTTCTATCACAAATATACCAAGTGAAAACAATAACATAATTTATCATAAGAAAAAAGAAAAGCAAAGTTTACCAAGTTTGTTTGTTGCTGCCATTATATAAACTTCTGTCCTCTGCTCCAGTCCTGACATCTCCAGCAGCAACTGATTGGTAACCCGGCTTGCTGATCCCTCCTATGAAAGAGATTTATCTGGGTTAATTAATAATTTGATTTGATTCAAGAACCAACATCACAGCACTCGGGGCATATCCATAAGCGCTCCGTCCCCATCTTCAGCAGGCAGCAAAGAGTTCCAATACTAATGATGCCAGTAGCATTCTGATTAAACATCGGTCTTGCCTTTTCTCTGAGCCTCGAGTATCTGCCAGAACCTCTCGTCACTCCCCCTTGCATCAATCTCATCAGACTGTGGTGATCCATCTGCTCCTCCGAACTGTACAGGCTCTCCCACAAGGCACTAACCACGTCTGCCCTATCATGCATCAGTATTCCACCAAGCTGTGCAGAGCCAGCCAGTCTGTCCGCCTGTTCATTTTCCAACACATCGGCATCCCCTGGTGAAAAAATCCAGACAATACTCCTCACCCGTGTCCTCCGCAGCAGGGCATGCCACTTTGCACGAAGCATGCCTGTCCTGATATTCCTCAGCATGCTGAATCAGTTACAATCACTATGTGTGTGTGTGTCATGTTCTCTAACCAGCGGAAAGCTGCAGTTACCATATATTTTGGTATCATATGCTAGGCTCTCCTGCACCAAACATCGACCATTAACTTTTGCTAAGAAACCCCAAGCACTTCTTTTGCCTCTTGGATTAGAGATCAGGCATAGAGGTAGCGGGTCAGACACTGAACCTTTTGGAACATTGACCTTCTCCATAAGTAGGTTTGGTTAATACACAAACCATTGAGACATCATATGTGTTAGACCATGGCATATTAAGGTGGAGATATGGAGATAAACAGCTATTATATAAATAATAGGGTGGCTACCACATTTACCAGTTTATTATAAAAGATAGCTTTAAAAAAAAAACATGCAGAAGAGAATTGAAGACAGACGTAAATAAATGTTGAGGCCATGGGGTGAGATGCATGAGTTGGCAAAAGATAGGAGACTTGACATTAGGTTTGATAAGGGCCTATCCTCCACTAGGAGATGAAGAGAGGAAGAAGACATAACTGACAAGTCTATAACTGAATGCACCTGGAAAGTAATTTTATCCATTATCGGACATTTTATATGGCACTGTCATTTTGTTATTGCACTAAAACTGATAGCTTACCTCACTCCCTGATGACCTCTTTGGGCAAATGGAGTCAATCTCATCAAAGAAAATAATACAGGGAGCCAAACTACCAGCTTTCTTGAAGAGGTCACGCACATTTTTCTCACTCTCTCCAACATACTGAAAAACAACATAAGACAATATAAATTACTTTGCTATATAATGGTGCAATTAATTTTTATAAAAGAAAATGGTACTAAGGAATATTTTTAAGATGGAGCAGATCTGAAGCAGACGCTGTCATTTTGGGGTGTTACGTCTTCACACATGTTGCCTTACCTTGCCAAATATTTCTGAAGATGGTATCAAGCATAGTGCACACACTCTATAGCTCTGGCAAGCTTTACACACATGTCGCAATTGTAACTGACTCACAGAACAATCTGAGAAAGGTGGAGACAGGTATGCTCCAAGCAGAGTGGCAAACATCACTTTAGAAATCCTGGGTAGTTATTGTCCATTGGATATTTTCCCCAAATCAGGCCAGTGATTTTGGGAAACAAACAGGCACATACACTGGCTGGTTCTGCACCAGCTGGTGGTGAATTGATGCATGACAAGCTAAATGTTGTTAGGGCCCTTTGAGAGCGGATAAACAGTGTGAAGGCACAAACAGGTCTGAAGGGTATGGTCTAAAGAGAATGGTGCAGCAAGGAGTGACCAGGGAATGTGGCCAGCGCTCAGCCCTCAGGGGAGAGGCAAGCTAACATAGAATCAGACTGTTACTGATACCATCAGAGTTGGAACTTTGTGCTCACTGCTAAAGATGGGGAAGGAGCACTGATGGAAATGCTGCTATCTTGTCTTGTCCACAATTGTCTCACAGCGTAGTGGGGAGTCGCAGTTTTCTATCCTGGGCCAGGTGTGTTGCACGTGTTGTTGTTAGTCCGTGTTGCCTCAGGATCTCTGCTATATCAATTCTTAATTCCATATTCAACTCATTCATTTCAGGAACTTATCTGGTACCAATTTTCTGTAAAGCTAAGTCAAAATCAGAGCAGCAATGGCCAAAAACAATTCTGCAACATCTGGAGACTGAACCCAAGCAACCTTCTCAGCAGGTAAGCACAAGGAATATTTTAGATAAGGAAAACTGAGATTAAAATAGGATGTCATTAAGATAAGGTTGTCCTTATGAACAAAAGAAAAATGATAAATATCAGCATAAGGTAATTAAAAGAAATAATAAGCATAAGGTAACTAGCACTGACCAAAGCTAATCACTATGATGATCAATTACTCCCTGTACAACAAAAATATCTTGTTTTTTTATTAAATAAGTGCAATAAATGAGATTTAATAATTTATGATGATGTCTAGGTAGCATGTATGTGTGAGCCGGGCAGAAAACCCTAGAAGAATTAATGTACCGATTGTGTTTTTTTTTTCCCCAACACCATCCAAAATAAAAATATCTAAACATGTAGGCAGCTGAAAGAAGTGATACTTGATCAGTCTTTCACACAAGTATTAAAAGAGATGCCTAGCGTTACTGCACACTCTGAAAAAAGTGATTCTACATTTGTGCCGAAAAAAAAAAGAAAAATATACAATTAATTTTAAAGAATATCAAGCAACGTAGAATAAAGAAAGAAGAAAAAAGAAAGACAAAGAAAGAAAGAGGCCTTCAGATACACAACTTCCCAGCATACCTGAAGCGGGGCAGACTGCCCCATTTCTTCACACAAAAAATTACAAGATTTTAGCAGCTACTATATCAGTTTGGTTTTAAGAATCCTGCCATTATTTAAAAAGACCCCCCCCCCCCCCCCCACTAAGTAGGTTTAGGGCCCCTGTGTGTGTGTGTGTGTGTGTGTGGGGGGGGGGGGGTTAGACCCCTGCACATTAACAAGTAGGTTGCAAAAGGTGACTGATAAAGGATTTGCTGACACCTGATGTGTTGGGCCAAAGGCAGATAATACAGCTTAGGTGTACCCACAACACAATATGCCAACTGTCCTTTCAAGAGCAACAGCAGAAGAAGAAGAAAGAGTGAATCCAGGATTCAATGTTGGTAACTAAGTGCACTATTAATCAAACTACCAGTAGTAATTATATCCTAGTAATTTATGCATATTACACATTTGAAAATCTGCCTTAAGTAAGCATTTGACTAACACAGTCCAAAATACAAACCTTGTTCAACAGTTCTGGCCCTTTAATATACAGGAAGTTAATTCCTGCCTCATTTGCAACTGCCTGTTGGGAAGGGATACAGAATATTTATTACGACATTACTAAATTAATTTCTAATAATTATTTAAAGTTAAAGTCGAGAGGATATTGACTTCACTGCACAGGGTTTTATCCCATACAGCTCGGTCTCTCTCCACAGAAGGGCTAGCCGGGTGCTGAGAGCTCCCCGTAGCTCCGGCAATGATCCCTGAAAAAAATTGCACTCGTAAACTGAGCGGCGCAGCCGCGAAACAAACCCACGACCCTCAGAGCAAGAGGCAAATGGCTTGATCACTTTGCCATGAAGTAATTATTCCTGTCTAAATATATGTTGACCCAGCCTTCAGTGCGTACCAGGTAAAGTCCTGAGAGGTAAAAGTGGCCGGCTCGATGATGACCACATCATTCAAAAAGAGCAGAGTGGTCTATAAAAATATTTGTTTAACCTCAAATGCCCAATGCACCATAGGCATATAAAGGGACCTTTATTTGTGACTTATTTAAATAACAATCAAAGACATCAATCATCAGTAGTTGGTCTGTAGACATAAAAGATAGGGAGATGTAGAACTGTTTACCTAAAGCAGTCAGAATGAATGAATAGAAACAGGAAGATATAGAAATGTTTCTCTAATGCAGTCAGAATGAATGAATAGACACAGGAAGATATAGCACTGTTTACCTTTTGCAGTCAGAATAAATGAACAGACACAGGAAGATGTAGAAATAAAACAAGAAGACACTGAGATATAAAAGCTCCTATACCATAGCAAGCTGATAACAGTTAGTTGTGTATCCTTTTTATGATGTCGCAGAACCAACCCCAGAATTTTTGTAACTGTTTGGTTTTACTAGGTAACCTTACATTCAGTATTTTGTCATTGCTTTTTGAGCGGTGGGCACTTGATAGCATTGTCTAAATCAAATCAAAGCAAAGCAGTCTGGAGCTGGAATCAAACTAGGTATTTTGGAATTATGAAGCATGCTCGCAACGCCTAAGCAGCAGACGCTGACAACTGAAACAGTAAAATGAAACAAAACAATAGGACACTGAGACACATTTCCTATGCCACAGCACAGTAGGTGCCAATGGAAATGAAAGAGCTGACAGGTTGGCTGGATCCACTATCATTACCGACGGTCAGCCTATGGATCATGCTGATATTAATGCCCTCAGGGAAATGGGAAAGACAGAGGACTTTGGGGGCAGTGAATCCACATCACTCGCCAGAATGGCAGACTTGGATCAGCATAGCAAAATACAAGACGCACATCAAACGACTTGTTAATCAACATAGAACTGCTACAATCAACCATCAGATGTTGCGGTTCATATTGTGGGGAGGGTCTGAACACCTATGGACATGTTTGGAGTGCAATGATGATAACAAAACTAACTAACTAAGCAAAGTAGGTGGCCCATGAGAAACACTCGACACTGACTGTACTTACCCTCGCAACAGATGTCTTGCCACAACCTGGAGGTCCAACTAACAGCACTCCTAATGCTGATGTCATTCCAAGGGCCTGATACAATTCTGGCCGTTTGGTTCGTTCCTGGAAAATTTTTTGTCTCATTTACCAAAAAATTTATGTTTTAAATTCAGTGTGTTGAACTAAGAACTGACACTATAGCACTCAGAACACTCCTATAAGTGCTCCATCTTCATCTTTAGCAGCCAGGGAAGAGTACCAATTCAGATGGTGCCAGTAGCAGTTTGATTATATGTCTGTCTTGCCTTTCCTCTGAGAGGAGAGTGTCAGCCAGATTCCCTGGTCCCTCAGAGCTGTACCATTCTCTCCAGACCATAATGATCTACATGCCTAAAACTAAAGTATGGCAATAAGTATAAATATAAAATTAAGTACGCCCATGCTAGACAATGTTGCAATTACAATAGCTGACAGGGCTTCTCATATAAAGAAAAAACCTCATTAAATTCCAAACAGGAATGCCTTCAGGCATTTTGGGTTAGACCTATATTTTATAGACCAATCGGCACTTGGTAATGGGGTCAACATCACGCCACCCACCATTACTTCCCAGGACTGCACTTAGTACACACTCAAGGCTGGGTCGACCTGGGAGCCAAATTCATTTTTTAAGAAAGCTCGGTTCCGTCAGGTTTGTCAAATCTGCCTCAATAATTATTTGAACCCATTACCTTCATGGCAGCAGGCAAGCAGTAAGCCACTGTGCAATGAGGGTTCCATCCAACCACATGTACTGGAAGATTGCCCCCCTCCCCCCCCCCCCAACCTATTTTAGCTTTAACTCTTTCAGTCCCAAACCACACATGATGTGTTACTTTCAATTCCCAACATATCTCAAAAATCACACCAAATGATTTGTTTATACTAAAGTTTTAATCAGGAAATACTATAAAATCTGGCAACCACAGAGGTATCTTTTATTCATTTCTTATTCTTTCAAAACAGCAAACAGTTAAGTTTTTACAGGGAAATGTGATGAAACAAAACAATGATTTTTGTACAAAATCTCATGGTACACAAAGAGTCAAAGTAACCACAGCCTTAAAAAATGGTTATCAAAGATTTTTTCTGCAAAGAAAGGTGGTGAGGAAAACAGCTGGTAACTTCACCATAATGCCGATATCTATTGTATACTTCTTAGCGTTCCTCCGGTAGTGAACTTTGACGGCAAGTTCTGGCCGCTCATCCACGTCTGGACTCTTGTCTCTTTTCAGAACTTGAGTTTTGCACGCACATCCATTTTACAGATCAGGCTTATTTATACTACAATAACTGCCACAACTCTACCATAACTTTACAAACTGTCAAAGGAAATGGGAACATAATAATTGTTATGAAAAGTAAACAAGGTAAAGTCGGGAGATGTGAACCAGCGTCATTGCACATAGTTATAAACCATAAGTGCTCTGCCACCAGTAGAGACAGCTGATCAGAAATTGTTCACCTTTGTCGCTGTTCGCACGAAACTCTGTAGCTACAGCGAGGTTCCTCCATTTACCCCAGAGTGTCAACTCTGGTACACATTACCTAGAGGCTGGGTGAACCCCGGGAACTGCCCAGTTTCAAACACCGACCGTGGGCTGCAGCGAGTCGCAGCTGGATTTGAAAGCAAGCCTCTTATCGACTGCGCTAAGGCGAAAAGTAACCATACACAGTGTCCTGACTGACTAAACCAATATTAGGATAGACCAACTGTGAAAAGTAGCTTATAAATTATCATCATAATCAAGTGCCTTGCCAACTGGCATGGGCAATCATGCACGTCCACAACTAGTGATCTCCAACAGCAAAAATAGGCTCATGTACTGGCAATGACTAAAGGCTGTGAAGAATCTTTTTGTTGTCTTCCTTTTTTCTCTCTTTCCATAAATCATTCCAGTGGTCACAGCAAGTTCCAGTTCCCTGTTCTCAATAACATAGCCAAAAATTGTGACTGTCTCCTAATATTTGTAATAAGTATTATAGATGAGATTATGAATACATCAACTTGCAAAGCATTCCAAGGATAATTTGGTTTTAAAACTAAAATATAAATAGATAAGCCTGGATAATGTGCAAGTGCACACACTCAAACTCACCATAATACACAGATTTAGTTTATCTCTTATACTGTTCAGGCCTCCAATATCATCCCAGGTTGTACTTGGAACCAAAATAACATCTTCCTGTTTGGCTGTTGGTTTCACTTCAATCATTGCTTCCTGGTTAGACAAAACAGCATTATACCAGATATCAGCTTGGAAAAAAAAATTGTGGCTAGAGTGTAGCAAACAAAGATACTAAGGAGTTTGAGACAAAGTTCTTGCTGTTGAATGCTACTGTGTGTCTGGGCAAAAGCAAGAGCTTGGAGGTTCTTGTTTGCATTCACCGGCTGAAAATCATGGCGGAAAGTCCTGGTTATGCATGATAATGTCTGGACTTCAACATTGTTCCATGGCTTGAGTTTTGAAGAGCATCCATTTTATAGATGGAGCTTATTTGTGTGTAGTCTGCTGTTTCCTTGCCTTTAAGGCAGATGCACTCTGACAGAAACATTTATCCTATCTTTAGAATAGTAAAGTATAGATCCCTTTTCATCCATTTAGGCGTATCAAGTATATGGGAAGAGAGCCCATATTTTTACAGACCATTGGCACTAGGTGGGTAATGTGGTCAGCATTACGCTGGCCGTCTTTAATTCTCCAGGACAGCCATCCTGGTACCCATTTTAGGCTGGGTTGACCTGCGACACCCCATATCATGGGAAAAATCCACACAGCCAGTAGTGGGTTTCGATCGCGGTACATTCGAATTATGAGTCAGACTCGCAACGCCTAATCCACGGATGCCGCTATCTTTAGAATGACTATGGTCATTGTTAAGCTTTTGCATTATCAAGCAGGATGCTGAAATTTATTAGGACAGTTGATTGAAAGACAGTTGAAACAGTGTCTGTCATTTAGTATGCTCAAGGACTTAACTCACTGTCCAAATGAGTGTTTAAACAGACGTTATCACCCATGCTATCGGAGTGAACTGATCACTGCCATACGTTTTCTGAATACTGCATCTCTGGGAGCCACCAGCTGAGATCCCAAGCCAGCTTGGTGTTAGCTGATATAGGCCATTATCAATGGTGCATGATGTAGACACATAGCAAGAGTCTTTGCATGAGGTTACGTAAACACCACCACAGACCAATCTGACACCCCAGTCAAGTATAGGTGTTCTCTACATATAGCACAACGCCTCAATTTGTCCTCATGCCTGTGACCAAAATCAAAGCAATACGGCTTCGAGGTTGATAAAGATCATCCACATATATGAGTTTATCAGAAAAAGAATTATAACATCTTCAGACGAGAAAGAAAAATATGTTCTTGGAAATATTGTCTACAGGGACAGAGGAGGGGGGAGAGGGGGGGGGGGGGGGGGGGGGGGTGGTTGTGTTTCTAGTTGTTGTTTTTTTAAATACATGAAATGTGTAGGAAAAGTTTGATTTTTTTCGTAACAAGATACCACCCTGATAAATCTGCAATCAAACACACCATAAACTATTTTTAATGGCAACGTCATGTCACACTTCACAAACATTTTAAAACAAAGGCAGAAACTAATCTCACTGGACAGATTCTTAGGGAAATCAGAGGCCTTTATAGGCAAAGTCAGTAAAGCAATACTAACATGGACATGGCACAAACCAGAAGTATCACTTTTGTAGCTCCATGGGACAAAAAGGTTAACGACGTTTGTAGTTTATTCATAAAAATTAATATTACTGACAACAGTTGAAGCAAAGCCTAAATCAAGCAAAGTGAAACAAAAGCTGTCATTTACAAAGTAGCTCACCTGAAAATCAGCCATAGAACGTGCAATGTCAAGTTTGCAGATGTCCTCTTGTGTGAATTCAACATCTTGTACCGTACTGCCTGGGGAGGAAAGAAAAAGATCTTTATGAATGATGCTGATGATTTCCTGCTCACTGCTCCCATATAACTATAGTTCCATAAATCATCATTTCCTTCTGTGCTTTATCTCCCAGTAGAGCATAAGCCCTCAACAATCTTGCACCTAGCTGTCCTATCCTTTGCCACTGTCTGCAGGTCCTCCATCTTTTATTTTGCCACCCCATTCTCTCTTTTCTCGGAGTTATGAGTTAGCAGCACTCCGGACACATCCATAGGTGCTCAGATTTCCCCCTCAACATATTCATCAGCATCGAGCTGTTAATAGTGCCAGTCCTATGTTGGTTAACAAAACTTTGTGTGCGTCCAGTGTGCTTCTTATGCTTGGCTTTGCTGATCTTTACTCCCAATGTTCGCATTCTTAGCAGTGATGTGGACATGTTGCTTCCAAAATCCTCAGAACGTCCTATCTCTCGAATGGCAAAGACAGTGTCTGCCTGATCCATGGGCCGGCCATCTTCAATTTCTCTGAGTGTGAGTGTTATTGTGGTCTCCATTTATTAGCTGGACATTAAGGATTCAAGTGAAAGGACTTCTAGTTTTTTTGGGATTCTCATTAAGCTTTTTGAGTACTTCTTCACTACTGGTTGGATTGTGAGACAAAGTTGTCCACGAAGTGACACAGGAAGTCTCATGTCAACCCTGTTATGAATGGTTGGATTCTGAGATACAGTTGTCCATGAAGTGACACAGGAAGTCTCATGTCAACCCTGTTATGAATGGTTGGATTCTGAGATAAAGTTGTCCATGGAGTGACACAGGCAGTCTCATGTCAACCATGTCCATGCATGTTCATTTCCCAACACACCGGCATGATCTGGAAGAAATATCCAAAGGATGCTACTACCCAGAATGTATGAAGCTGTTGTTTGCGTTCAATGGCTATATAAGGTGAAAAGACCTTGTTGTTCGTTCATTTCTGGACTTTCACTTTGTTTCATGACCTGAGTTTCGCGTGTGCATCTGTTTTACAGATCTGACTTATTTGTATGCAGATTGCTAGTTCCTTGCCTCTCAGGTAGATGCACTCCGACTTCAAAGGAAGCCCCTAGTTAGTCGACTCTTACAACATGCTTCTTGGGGAGGCAGTGGGTTTATTCTTCTTTTCCCCACAATAGGGCCCCGGAACACACATGGGGGACCTCTGGAGTGATGCTTGCCACTCTGCACGGAGCATGCCTGTGTCTACATTTCTCAACATGTTCTGTGAGTCAGTTACAGCATGTTTGTACAGCTGATTTTCAAGCCAGCGGAAGGCAGTGACTATCTCCACCTACATTCTCAAGCTAGACGTTATGATATCATATGCCAGGCTTTGTTGCACTAAGCAATGTCCATTCGTTTTTGCTAAGAACCCCCATGCACTTCGTCTGCCCCTCAACATAGAGCCATCTGTATAGATAATCACATCACCTGGGCGGGAATTGTCATGAATCATTTGTTAAACTCCTGATTATGCAGCACCAGCTGGCCAGCCCCTGCACACACGACCTAAAGTGATAAGAACCCTACACAAGTCTGAAACTTGCTCGGACACTCTAACCCACTCCTCGCCCAAATTTATCAAGCCTGCAAACATGTCTAATTGAGTCTTCAGCTTACGCCATCCAAAACCTTCCTCTTTTCAGTCTGTGACCCTTAGAGAAACATACAAAGAAATACAATAGCCTGTTTGCTCCAGAAACACTATAACAACAGGCTAAAAACCTGTGGGATTTCTGAAATAAATCATTGTTTTTTTTAAAGCAGGTCACTAATAAACAAAATGATTACCCCCCCACCCCCCCCACCCCAAAACTTATCCATTTAATTTTTTAAAAAAATATAACGGGAGTAATCCATAAGCATAGAGAGTAAAGCCCTAAACAATATATATTTAGGGCACCTCATACCATGACCTCTATCTTTTAGTAAGTATATTCATATTCGGGCCTCATAATCGCTGCAGAGATGCAAACAGAACCAATGGTATTTTACTATTCTAATCGAGAACAGGTCACTACAGAAATGTTGATATATCACCAGAACTAACTAGATTAAGGTGTTTCAGCGCACAGCAGTTAGAGCAAAGAAAGAGAATCGCATAGTGAGTGACATAAAGAAATAAGAGAAGAGGGAATAATTAATCTGTTAAAATACTCTTCACATAATGTGCGGTTTAAAACAATAAAAGGACCCTTTTCCCAGTAGAAAATCAAGCATATGATGCTAGATTATAAGTCTATTGAAACAATAGAAAATTCAACTTTTATCAGTATTCTCACCATTCACCACGTTAGTTTGCTTCCGCATCACATACTCTGAAATTGCTCGGTGCAGGGTACAAGCATTTGTGCTAATTATCAGCGACTTCAAATCAGATCCCACAAAACCTGGAGTGAGATCAGCAATGGCAGACAAGGACACATCTTCTGCAAGTGGCACTCCCTGGCACAAAGTCTGAAGAATACTGTGAAATAATTTAAATACACACACCATATTAGGTGATTTTAACATTAAACAAAATCTAAATATAAAATTCTGAAATGTTTATTTACTGCCATCATGTCTGTATTTTATCACCACAACTGGTGTCCACTAGAAAGATTTATAGCTCCAGCTTCAATAGCCAATTTTAAGGCATGATAATTCATTCATTCATTCATTCAGTAGCATGTCCCTCGCGGAACCTCGCTGCCATAACAACCCTCCGGAAAACCTTCCTATCCTGAGCAAGATGTCCTGCGTCTGATACACCCATCTGGAGATCATCTGCCACATCCTGCACCCATCTTCTCCTTGGCCTTCCTCTTCCTCTCTTCCCAGGCATATACCCCTCCATTATTGTTCTCTCTATACTTCCATGACGTTTCAAGTGACCAAAATATTTCAATTTTCTTTGTTTTATTGTCTTTACTAGCCAACCCTCTTCAATATTCAGCTCTTGAAGTATGGATGCATTTGTTCTTTTCTTTACCCAAGATATTCTTAGAACCTGTCTGTAACATTTATATTCAAATGCATTTATGCGCTGTTCCGCTAAGGCATGATCAGGCCATTTAAATGTATGTGCCGATTCCTCCCATGAAAAAAAATAATGGACACATTCTATTTTTGGAGACAGGTTTTTAAAATGTTGTTTCTCAAACTGCTCTCCAGACAGTCTATCTTGTCAGGCAGTAGGTCGCTGCAATCAAAACAATGCGAGCATAATGTGCCTTTTGTTTGCTATCTGAGTTACACACTATCAGCACACTTCCAAGTGTCTATAGGTATAACTTTTCGCTCCACACTCTCGTAGCAGGACTCGACGACAGTAGTTTCGTCAAACAATAGATTCATTCGACAGAACACAAGAGGGTAGTTGCAAGCCCTCACACCGACACAACTGCAGATGTAGACATTGATCCTAATTGACATTCGACATAGTCCTCACTCTCTCTCTCTCCCTCAACCTGTAGCGTTCTCTCCCCTGACCATTACAGCTCCAAACATCTATCTACAGCTTCCCACAACTCTGGGGTCGCTGTACAGAAGAACAGGAAAACTCTCCTGTTAACTAGACATTAATATTACTTCAGCAGACAACAACGGCTGACTGAAGACAAACTTCATTTGCTCGTTCTCTAGCATGTGCCCACAGAACATCAGCCTATTGAAGGACTCCAATGACCAACAAGATTTCTAACACAAGTCCCCTCTAGCACATAGCTCTCGTCGGCATCTCTACTGTTCTGTTTCCATGGTGATCCTACGTCTCCTTGCGCCGTCACCTAGACCAGTCACTCCTGGAGCATCCAGCCAACTTGGCCTTACTTCCCCAGAGGGACTATACCTTCGACCTGCGCCGTAACCATAACCCTTACTCAGGCCTTGCTGCCTGATAGTTGTAGGGTACTCTGTCTGTCTCTTGAGAGAGATACTGACTCTGACCTGACTTGGTCTCTCTCTCTCTCTGCCTCGGACTCAGACTCTCTCTGACATACAGCACTCTAGTGCTGGGTGTGTACTACACCCGCTCTTCCCTAGTGCTTTAGCTCTCTGGCTACAGTTCATTGACTCGAACTATCTACGCAGCCTCAATATATCCATGCCGAACCCATGTGGGTGGCTGATGTTACACGAGAGGCACTCTCGTGCGGGCGCTCTCGAGAATCATGTTCATGTGGGCATTTTTTAGACCCACTCTCATGTGGGCGTTCTAGAGAATCACGCTTATGTTTGTGGCTGATGTTACATGAGAATCACTCTGTCCTGTAATTCATACTTTCTCTGTGCGTCTCGTTAGCCATGCTTGTCAGTCCCCACCGTGACTCCACGCATCTACTTTCACAGGACCCCACACTTCTCACTGGTCCCAAAACTGTCTCCCCCTCACTACTGGGGTCAATGTTTACACTGTTCACGGGACATTTCCCTTGAACTGCCGGAAAGTACTATCATACCACTCTGTCCATTCACACAATATTACACTCTCCCAAATCAGCACGCAACAGTGCCAGCTGAAGATGCAATCTCTATCAGTCACCATTCTGCCCTTACATAGCATGACCACAATAAGTGCTAATCCCCAAAAAAAACTATACGTATCCTGCATGTTAAATGCACACAAAATAGTGGTCAATGACAAGAGAACACAAGGATCTGGGAGAAATACTGCAGACATAATACATCCATTCGTCATCATTTTGAGAACCCTTCACAAATGTGAATGTGCTTCCTGTTAGTTGCTTTGTTTCATTATGCCACACCTGCTAATAAGCATTCCATGTTTCCAATAAAGCCATCTGGAAGGGTTTCAGTTGATAATGCCTTGTTTCTTTCTTTGGTTTAAGTTTTGAAAGTCAGTAAAACAGAATAATCTGCCTTCTGCAATCTAAAATATATTCTTGGTAAAATCTAATCCGATGAATAAGTCAAAGGCTGATTCTCAAACAGTATTCATAACATAAATGTAGAGGTTCTTTGCAACATACATCGATAAATGACATTAGGTCATAGTGCCAGAAACATACTACCGAGGACTAAAAGTATCTTCATGAAGATTACTGCATCCTGGACCAAGAGCATATAATGACTCCAAAATTATTTTGTAACTGAATGATAAAAGAGAAACTAATATGAAATATGAACGAGACTTAATAAAACAACAACCTTTTGCTAGAATTTCTGTTAGGATGTCTCAATGCATATGCAAGTCCTTTGCCTTCTCCTTCTTTTAGTCTATGTGTGTTGCTGGTATTTCATTTCTGTACACAACCTTTTGTCTTGTGCACTTTCATATAATTCTGAAACAGATGATCTTCTATGTCATGTCAAACTGTCCAGCATCTTCTCTCATTGTTTCTCTCTGCCTCTCATGCTCTTCCAATTTTTCTACTATCATGATACTCCATTGTTCTCCTTCTCATGGTGTGATCAAGAATCCAGATTGTCTTCTTCTGATGTGAGCAATCAATTCTCTTTCAAATCATCTTCATTACTCTGTCTATTTCTAGGGTTTTCTCATAATTCATCTATAAAACCTTGTGCCTGCTTTCAAAATAATACAGTAGATTCCGGTGAGATTCCAAAATCTTTGAACAGTTTACCAGACCATCGAAACAGTATAAAATTGTTGATACACGATAGTTAAAATTAAAAAAAAAAAAAAAAGATGAAAAAATACTATGAATGATGAAAGAATGATAATCCATGTTTAATCAAGGGCCCCAATTTGGAGGAGAGGGCACTGTCCTCTAATGAGTAAGTCATAAATAATAACAGGTGACCAATTATGATTTGTTTTAATCGAATGTGCTGTTGGGCTGAAAAGCACAGATAATGTTGTCTGGCTGTAAATGTGCCAACCGCCATTTAGAAAAAAAAAAGTGAATGAATGATACTAAAACCCACCTTTTCCTAGCATCTCTGTTGGGGTATCTCAAAGCAAATTCAAGGTCAAAACGTTCAGTTCTTCTAAATGCTTCATCCAATGAATTTGGTCTACTTGTGGTACATATCATCAACACAGGCAAATTTTTTGACTTCAGATCTGTGTTATTTTTTAATGATATCAATGGTTATAATTTTAAAAACATTTCTTCATGTATCATAAGTGATCTCATACAAGTAACTAATCACACGCTTTATGGATACTACAAAATCAAAAATGATACTTCAAAACAGGCATCCCATAAGAAGATAGATATACAAAAAAGGATAAACTAAAGTTAATTGCATAATCTTTACAGGATGTTTCAACCGAACCCTAGCATTTGTAGTTTGTGTTTTGTCAAGGTAATTTTACCTTCAGTAGTCTGCCATTGAGTAGTCTATGATTAAGCACCAGCAAGGAGATCAAAATCAGAATTTTGAGAGCATGCATCTTCCCTGTGGCTACATACGGATGTGAGTCGTGGACTATCTCTCAGTCATTAAGAAAGAGAATAGGGGCTTTTGAGCTGAAATGCTATAGAAAGATTCTCAGAATATCTTGGACAAAGAAGAGGAGAAATACTGACATCTTGAAAGATCTGAACATCAAGGAAGATTGGCTAATATACAGCATCCTGTCTCGGAAGTTGAAATATTTTGGTCATATCAAGCGCCACGACGGATTGAAAAAAATTATAGCAGAAGGCATGGTACCAAGAAGGAGCGGCAGGGTCGACCGACACGAAGATGGGCACAGGATATAAGTGACTCCTTGAGTATGAAAGTACATGAGGCGGGAGAACTGGCGAGAGACCGAGTTTCTTTCAGGCAGACCGTGATGAGAGCGATGTTCTGCAAAGGACCTGCTACATGGTGATAAGCCTGCCACTGCTTCCTGAATGGCTGACACTCCCCACCACTGTTAAAAGCAGTGTTTTTCAGCCAAACTGACTACAGCTGAACAGGTATTTTGGAGTTACAAACCCCATTCGTACCATATATGCACTGGTTGCTATATATTTACCCAATAACTCTTTGTCTGCCTTTGCTTATCTTCTGGCTGTCTTTTTCTGTCATTCACCTTTTAACAGTCAGCCAAATCAAGTCAAACCTGTAGCTGACTTGCTTATGATAGGTTGGATTTTGAAGACAGATTTTGACAAATTGAAGTAGCCAGTTTCATATCAACCCTGTGGGTGCTTTATTAATATCCTACCCTGATGACATCACAGGACAGTCTAACATTTTAGAGCGTTTTTGATGCTTTTAACAACCCCAAAACATCTGGAACTCGCCCTAACCCCAACACACCTACGTATCACGAGAGAGCGCAGCCTAGGTCCCACGACTGCATGCAACCTATCTACCACCCTCTGAAATATTAGACTGTCCTGTGACCTATGGAATTCCCCTGTTTGTGGTAGGATATTTTTAAAGCACCAAACCCTCCTTAGAGTCATATAATGGAATGAAATGTAGGTCAATTTACTCCCTGAGTTGGTTCGGCACCCCATTGTAAATGGGGAAAATGGTGGGGGAAATAGACCATTGCCCACCCACAAACAAGTATGTTATACAAGTTGATAATTAGCGGTGTTTTCTTTGAAGTTGAAGTGCATCTGCCTAAGAGGTGAGGAATGGTAGTATGCATATAAATTAGTCAGATCTGTAAAATGGACATGTTTGCAACACCCAGGTTCTGGAACAGGATTAGGGTGCAGAAACAGATGAACAACCAAAACTTTCCGCCCGAGTTTACAGCCTGTGAACATGAAGAAGAAGTAGAAGAAAGTGATCTTCTAAAGAAAGTTTTACTTATAACTATCAAATAAAAACCAATGTATAAATAATCAAATAAAATACAATATAATGGAAAGAAAACAATCAAGTAAATCACTTTCCACTTTCACTACAGGAAAGATAATCTAGTAAATCATTTAACATCTTCACTATTGGAAAGGTAATCAAGCTAATCACCTACCACCCATATACTACTGGACAGATAATCAAATAGATGACTTACCATCCATGCTACTGGACAGATAATCAAATAGATGACTTACCATCCATGCTACTGGAAAGCTGCGTGACAACTCTACTCTCCATGCCTTTAGTTGCTGTTTCTCTCTTGGTGGCTATAGCATCAACATCGTCAATCAAGAGAATGCAAGGCGCAAGTTCCTACAGATATGAAAGAAAAAGCACTAAAGAATACATTCCCTGGGGGTCTACATATATACTAATGACCCTGGGATTGGGGTTCACTGAAGCTATGAAAAATGTTTACATCACAATAGTTTTTTTTAAAAAAGGTTTTTTGGTTTACAATTAAAACCCACTTAAATGCAATTTCTAGTAAATATATTCACTCTCGAGCCTCATAAATGCTTTCATATATTAAAAATTACCGAAACAGTAGAATCGTATTTAATCACATGTGGCAGTAGGTGCAGAATACCATGGACAAAAAAGAGAAGAAATACTGAAATTTAAACAGATCTGAACATCAAGGAAGATTGGCTAATGAACAGCATTTTGTCTCAAAAGCTGAAAGATTTTGGTCATATCAAGCATCATGGCGAACTGGAAAAAAATATTAGCAGAAAGCAGGGTACCAGGAAGAAGGCGCAGGGGTGACCAACACATAGATAGGCACAGGATATCTCTCCTTGAATATGAAAGTACATGAGGCGGGACAGCTGGCGAGAGACCCAGTTTCTTTCAGGTCGATCACTAGTAGATGCAAAGTCCTAACAGTTCACATCCGTACAACAGCTTGACTCAAATGTAACAGCATTTGTTAATATTATTACTAAATAACTGATGTGTGTGTGTGTGGGGGAGGGGCACCGTGGGGTAGTGGACAGACACTCGTCGGCAGATCTGAATGTCAAGGGTTAAAATCCGTATGGAACTGGAAATAATCAAAACATCGCAGGTCGACCCAGCCTTCTATGTGCACTAGATAAAATTATGTGACGTAAAGGTGGCCAGGGTGTTATTAACCACATAACCCGCTGAGTGCTGACTGGCCTACAAAATACAGGTCCAGAACTTTACGCCCAATATGCCAAAAGGCGTAGAAAAGGGTCCTTTATATGTGTCTACCTACCATAATATGCTTGTGAATACTTAACAACTTTACACGTGCTTTTTCGCTGCAGCTAGATAATTTCTGCCTTGTGTTACACTCAAAGACAGGTAGCCTGCCTCTCTGTAAACAGTGGTTGAATGATATGAGACGAACTGGGTGCAATGAAGTCAATCACCTCAGTTAGATGGTAAGTGAATTTACTTGATTGTTTTCTTTCCATTACAATATATTGTATGTTATTTGATTATTTATACATTATTGTGATATTTTATTTGATGGTAATTAGTAAAATGCATACATTTTCCATAGAAAATCACTTTCTTCTACTTCATCTTCATGTTCACTGGCTGTAAACTCGGGAGGAAAGTTCTGGTTGTTCGTCCACTTCTGGACCTCAACCTTTAAACTTGAAATCTTTAACTTCACCTCTTTATGGAATTGTATCAGATGGTCTAGTACTAAAGATAATTTTTAAACCTTACAGCAGCCTGGTTAAACAAGTCTCGAATATTTGCTTCAGAGTCTCCAGATATTCCTCCTACTAACTCTGTAGCTGTTACACTCAGCAAGGGAACTTTGTACTCCTGCAAGACAGAAAAGTTTTCAAAATTTTAATTTTTTAAAAACAAACAAATAATCAAAAATTCTGAACAGAGAACAATTTTGTAAAAAAAAAAAAAAAAATGTGCAATTCACGCAAAGATAACTTACACATGAACCAATGGAGATAAGACAATTTTTGTGTGTGCCCTAAAAGTTCATCCAAGTCTGGATTTTGACCTTTTTTTCCAGGACTTGAGTGTTGCATGCACATTTATTTTTACAGAATAGGCTTTTTTGTGTGCAGACTGATGGTTCCTCAGGCAGGGTCTCCTTTCTATACAGGCACTCACGTAGACATTCTCACTTTCAGTCGTACGTCCTCTCACTCCAACAGGTCGACACAAACTAAACTTGACCAGAGTCAAGTCTGACTTATACCACGGGTTCGTTTCACGTGACAACACGTGGTGGTCCTTTACTTTTCCCGTGGCGACCTTGGGTCGCATCATCGTGGTCCCCGTGATAACCAGTGGTTAGTCACCTATCTCCAGATTCTCGTTTAATTCAAGTATCTGGACTATCTCGGTGTTTTAGGTCAGCTTTGGGCCTTCCCCCTAACCATCCTAAACTGGGTGAAAATATCCCCCATTACAACCCCACAGCAAGTTTTTTTTTAAAGTATCATCATCATAAACCACTTCTGGCATTAAACGTCATAGGGAGGAATAATTTGTGATCCAGTGCATGCCGGCTGCCACAGGCTACTGACACGCTGTGAAAGCGTAGTGTCTTTATTGTGTCGATCCATTTTTTCATGGCCATCCTCTTGCTCTTGTAGCTGATTTTCTGTGAGTGCATGTGATGGTATTTGATCTTGCTGCATTCTAACGAGATGGCTAAACCACTTGATCTGCTATATTTCAATGAATCTAGTACAAAGCATTCTTCCCACAATTTGTCTGATAGTATCATTATTCACTCGATCTCAGCTGGCGTCATTTCTCCTCATCAAGTATTATTATGAGACTGACAAAAATAACAACATTAGGACAGAAGGAGTTAAAGAATAAAATCAAAACAGAATGGCTTAACATGACAAAAGAAAAGACAATATGAGTAAAAAAATGTTTGTCACAACAAGTAACCGACAAATGTACTGTGCATGCCTTGGTATCTAACCAGTGACAGACATATCGCTTGGTTTAAAACTGCATGAAACCACATAAAATGGGTATCTTATATTACTCTAAATTTTCAGGACACTGGTCAAGATTAGTGGCAAAGAAAGGAACTATCATATTTTTCTGTGTATAAGACAATATGTTTTCCCAATTTATGAGGGCTGTGTTAGCGCAGTCGATAAGAGGCTGGTTTTCAAATCCAGCTGCGGCTCGCTACAGCCCACGGTCGGTGTTCGAAACCGGGCAGTTCCCAGGGTTCACCCAGCCTCTAGGAAATGGGTACCAGAGTTGACACTCTGGGGTAAATGGAGGAACGTCGCTGTAGCAACAGAGTTACGGCGACACAGGTGAACAATTCTTATCAGCTGTCCATACTGGTGGCAGAGCACTTATGGTTTATAACCATGTGCAATGACGCTGGTTCACATCTCCCGACTTTACCTATACCTTTACCCCCAATTTATTTTCAGATTAAAATAGGGGGCTATCTTATATAAAAAATCTGCTTTTCTTTCTTTCTTCTGAACCAGAAGCACTTGACCATAGTTATCTGGCTCAGTGTCTGGAGCATCAAAGCCCTTCAGCCTCGGTGCCACATACACTATTAATCTGGGGAGTATGCAACTTTTCTGCCATCCCCCGGCTTGAACCCGAGACCAAAGATGTATGGGGATTGTCATATGGAATCTGCTTAAAATATTTATATCCTATTTTAGGATATAAAACAAGGTGGCGGTGGGGAGGGGGTTGTCATAGACATAAAGGCATCTTACACACAGAAAAACATAGTAGCCCCACTCATCATACCCTTAATTAAAATTTGTGATGGCATACTCATAGTAGATTATGCCATTGGGATTTTAAATAGTATTACTATTTAAAATCCCAATGGCATAATCTACTATGAGTCTATCTTTACAAATCTGAAAAGACTTGCAACCTATGTAAGATTAATGTTAAGCATCAACCCTATTAAGGTCACTGAATATTTGAAAGTCCATTGTTTATGGATTCTCTGATGCAGGAGTCATCCATAGACTGCTCCAGTGACTGTTCCTACGACAAAAGTTGGTTATAATTGGTTATAAATCTCCTATCTTAATCTCAAAGAGTGCTTAGCTAGGCTTTACCCTCCAGGGCAAGTAATGGGGTTAGCACCAGAGTCGGTTATATCACCCAGCCTAGTCTGTACAGCATAATATTGACTATATCAGCTCCATCCAGCCTTCTTCTCGCTTTCATTTGTGCATTACTTGCTGGCATACCATGGTGTGTAGATCCAGGCAAGGGAGCTGCGGTGAGATGTCTAAATGCTGTCCATCCATTAAGAACGGACTTCTCGGTTGTGATTCTCTGAAGCTTTTTTTTTTAGCTAGTCTGATATGACTACTGCATATGTGGTTGCTTGGTAACTTTTAATAAAAAATAAAGTATATGCGTTCTTACAAACTTTTATCAGTTAACCTAGCTAGTTTTGTACAAGAAGAAAAAATTTACCTAAATTCATTCTTGCATATATAAATAATATTTATTGAAGAAATTTGCAAAGATACAAACCCCAGCTATAGACTTTGCAAGCAGAGATTTTCCACATCCAGTCGGGCCATGAAACAAAAAGCTTCTCGGTAAATTCTTCATTAATTGCAGCAATGCAGGATGCTTTAGAAAGTAGCATCGTTTTCTGAGATGCTGTCGAAAAACAAAATCATAAATAACCAGTTAACAGAGTTGATAGACTGATACTGATAAGAAAAAAACTTCCTAAATATACAACTGTATACCAACTGAATAAAAAAAGAAAAACTGTACATTCAACAGGAAGTCATGGAGTGCAGTAGCTAGCCTGCCCAGTGGTGACAGCCAAATACCCCCAATGATTTTCTTAAAAGACCTGGCCTACCGTGTCAATTTAGCCTTAAATGGTTACCTTTGGAACTTCCAATGCCAATGTCTTTTCTTCACCTCTTGATATACTGGAATTAGCTTTGCTTTTTCCACAAGCTCAACATCAGTTATTCTGTCATACTATTGCATTTCTTTTAATAAATAAACATGTACAGATCGGCACTCACAGAAAGAAGTAGAAAGACAGGACACGCGAGTCAACACAAAAGTCAAAAACTATAGTCCGTCAGGAATCCAACCTGTCACTTCCAAATGATGACAGTGCCTCGCTGAAGAAACAAGTGTACTAAGCTGTGTGACCATTTAAGGTTAGCCATGTCTGTTATACAGCATGAATCCACAGATATGGAATATGGACATAAATTGTCTCAAACTACTGAAATGGCACTATAGGTTATAGAAATTTATATTAACTAGGCGTAGGTTGAATAACAAACACAGCAATTATAAACACAATGAAGCATAATGCTGTCTAGAATACAATGAACATTTCAGGAAAAGATCTTAATGGTTTAATTTCTTTCATGCTGCAAAACCTCAAATATTAGCTGAGAAATGGCATATATGAGAGGTTACAGTGTCTGCCTTTGAATTACTGGGTTCAATTCCAAGGGCTAGGAATGTTTAAAGAAGCAATGTTTGCTGATCTTGTGGATTGTGACATCAGATACCTAAAATCCTCAGATAAAAGTATAAATTATCAACATTAAAAACGGCATAACAGAAACTGCAAGAAGGTCATAAAGCCACAGCTTGACAATTTTTAAGAGACAAACATACCCTTGAGCAGACAGAAATACTAACTTTGAACAGAATCTGCCCAGAGGATACAAATCTTACAAACATATGCTGCCATCTGAGACAGACCCCCCCCCCCTTTCCCCATCCCCCCTCCCCCCAGTGTTATAGCAGTGAGGACCTGTGGCAGCAGTCTTGCACAAGGATCCGTAAAAACCAGTCCAAAGGTATGGACTGCCTCCTCATACACATCATAGCAGCCTTGACTTTCCTTCTTGCCTGTGACCAAAATCACAGTGCTATGCAGTATGATTCAATACTTCATACTTTGAAGGTAAAATCAGGAGATATAAACCAGCCTCACTTCACACAGTTATAAACCATAAATCTTTTGCCACCAGTATGGACAGCTGATAAGAAACTGTCCCCCTGTGTCACCGTCCGAACGCAACTCAGTAGCTACAGCAACGTTTCTCCATTTACCCTAGAGTGTTAACTCTGGTACCCATTCCCTAAAGGCTGGGTGAACCCCGGGAACTGCCTGGTTTCAAACACCAGCCGTGTGCTGCAACGAGTCACAGCTGGATTTGAAAGCAAGTTTCCTATCGACTGTGTTAATGTGGTCATCTAATACTTTAGAAATATTTCATGGAAATGAATTATAACAATGAATCTGAAAAGCAATTTAATGCAATAAAAAATACATTTCTGTCATCCATATCTTGGCCAATTGACGTCTTTCCAGATGACAGTATTATATTGTGCTTCATGGAGGCATGGAACTCAAAGCCCAGGGTGATGAAGGGTGAGACTAACAAGATCCACCAACTATAGGAAAAGTGAACAAGTCTTTGCAGTATTATATAGACTGTGTACTGCCCCTGCAGCATGACACATCTCAGCCTTGTTTACTTTACAGAAATGATAAAAGCAATATACTTGGAACCAAGCATGCAGCTGAAGCTATCACATCATATCAGTGCTCTGTGCACCTTCCAGAGACCCCGCCCCTCACGACCAGCTGCCAGCTAAGGTTGAGGGCCTAGTCTGCCCTGCCACCACGTTAAATTTGCAAGTTACGTTTCTCCATCTTAGGATAAAGCTAGTATCCCTCACCAAACCAACCCTACACCAGAAGCTGTTGGCATAATTTGGGATGATGTCAGGTTTGATATACATCGCCCAATGCTCTGTATCAACCTGAAAACAGGTAGCATCCATGCCTGTTTTGGAGTCTGTGTTAGTAAAGTGGCCAACACACTTGTCTGTTATAATGGTAGTTATATGTTTCAATTAATGAAGAAGTTACTAGCCTGTTATAATGGTAGTTATATGTTTCAATTAATGAAGAAGTTACTTGCCTGTTATAATGGTAGTTTTATGTTACAATTAATGAAGAAGTTACTTGCCTGTTATTATGGTAGTTATATGTTTCAATTAATGAAGAAGTTATCAAGCACAGTGCACACACTTGTAGCTTCGGCAATAAATTCTTCTTTTATGTTTCAATTTCATATCTAGGCAGATTAACTGTAAAACTGACTAGGTTTCTGTGGTCTGGAAAAAACATGGCACCAACACTTTATGCCTTAAGAAGTGGAAAGGGAATCTTTACTTACTTTTATCCAAAACAACATACTTGACACACAGACAGTTTAAACACAAAAGATAGGACTAGACAAACTAATAGTCTAGAATCTTAGTAACATTTACCAGTATGACATGTTAGGTTGGCAGAAGTTGTTATGCTAACATTACAGCTTTAAAAGGGGCAATAGTATACTACATTTTGACCTAACATAAACACATCTGATGGTACACTATTCATGAAACATTTTAAAATGATAACATAGTTGTGACTACACACCTCTAAGACACTTTCATTTCCTCCAACATCAGAAAAAGTTACATCTGGGTAAACAGGCTTCTCTAAAAAAAAAATGGCGAAGAGGTGATTAAGCATACAACAGTACAAGGCAGTAATAATTTTAAAAACAATACCTTGTTTCAGATTTGAACAATGAAACAAATAACCAACTGCCAATTTACTGATTGGCATATTTTTCAGTGTCTAATCACATGACAAGATAAAGTGGAGAACTAAATTAAAAAGTTTACAAAGATCTATGGAAAAGTATTTAACCCTTTCCCTGCTATACACTCTGCAACCATCTTTACCACTGTGCTATGCAAGTTCATCGCTGATTCTTTCCCCTGTGCTGAATACTTTTCTATCGCCCAAACGCAAAAGATGCGTCGGCGGTGCAGGCTCTATTTTGTACATCAAAACATATTCACCCTAGGAAAGTAGGTGGTGACTGGAGTGCTGACAAATCAGACATACTATAGCGGCACCAAAAAACACCTCTACAGAAAGGAAACACTAGAAACTAGACTTGACTGCCCAGCTTCACCCCAGGAATATCCACTACTAAGTCTATCTTTTTTCCCACCACTACTGTATAAGTAGTATAAACTCCACAGTGGAGCAAATACAACAGTAGCCTTCTAACTATCAGCAGGAAAATTCTTTGAATGTTTCAGTTGCTTTACATTCCTTGCAGGCGGATATTGCAGGGACCAATTTTATTCTTCTGTTTTCTACTTCATCTGTTTCCACCGTTGCCTTGTGTTTAGTCAGTGCCCCATGTGTATCTCAGGTTCTTATCAGGCACACACCCCCCACCCCCAACCCACCCCGGTTTGTTCCACCACTGCCTCACTCCCACAGGGAGGGTGGAGCTAATGGAAGAACTTGTCTAGGAGAATCCTGGCACTTCACCCCGGGCCGTGACTCAGAGCTATAACTTGCACTGCTGGCAATTCTCCCGCAACATAAATGTTATCGATAAATCTACCACGGCTCAAACTTTAATCCCAACTAATTGTATTCCCTATGTTAATTTTTTTTTTATTAATTACTTGGGTGATCGGTTGCCAAAAGTGTTAAGAGCTTCTGTCTTAAACAAAGCAACAGGATAACTCAGAATGTATCCAAATACATCTAAACGCACATGATAAGGGTTTTAATCGTATTTAATGGGTCAATCTGGTCATATTTAGGTAATCTTCTTCTTCTTCTTCGCGTTCACCAGCTGTAAACTCTGGTGTAAAGTTCTGGTTGTTCGTCCAATTCTGGACTGCAGTCCTGTTCCAGAACCTGAGTGTTGCGTGTGCATCAGTTTTACAGATCTGATTCAATTGAATGCAGACTGCTGGTTCCTTGCCTCTCAGGCAGATGCACTCCGACTTCAAAGGAAGCTCCCCAGTTAGTCGACTCTTACGACATGCTTTTGGGGAGGCAGTGGGTCTATTCTTGTTTTCCCCACAATAGGGCCCCGGAACCCACACGGGGGATTTAGGTAATGTGTATTGTCATTTCCTCCCAAAGAATGACGGTCCTAAGCAGTCCATAAGGAAAGTAGAAATTGTGTTTTTACATCCATAGCAGTGAGCGCACAGAAAACTGAAGACGCAAAAATACATCCTTAGCAGCCCACGGAGCAGACGTATATGTCCATAGAAGTGAAAGGGTTAAGAGATAGTTATGAGTTATATTTACACTTTTTGCACAGATCAGACTAAAAAAGAATAGACTCAAAAAAGGCAAATCGTGGATGGGTCTTGCTGGGGATGCCATCCAATTGGTGTGCTACATTACTGACATTAATCTCAGAACTTAATGGCTACCGATACCTGATGCTCCAAATATTCATAATACAGTCCATATTACACTTGATTAAAGCTGCAGATCACAGATTACTAACATTGCAGTTAGAATGTTGATTGATGAGACACCGAAGAAGGTAAACTATGGTTCACATGGATGCATCAGTAATTCAGGGCAAGCGAAGTTTGTAGGTGTTCACAGTAAACTCAAGAGGGGAACCATTAAAGGAGATGAAAGAGGCATTCTTGTGCAACAATGAAGAAATCAAATCAACAGCCTTTTAACACCAACAGTAACAATAGCCAGTGCTGATCATCAAGCAGTGGATCACAAACTGTTCCTTCCCATAAAAAAGTGGAAAATGATGATAATGAATAAAAAAAACCTTATTTTCACTTTACTTTGTTTCTTTCTTTTTAATCCATCAGGTGACTCTCTTCGTCTTTTCTTTGGCTGCCCACTCTTAGCTGAATCCACATTTTCCTATAAAAGGAAATTATAACTGAAGTAGAAGATGACCGAGACAGTAAGAGTTTACAACATTACTAAGATGAAACATTATATGAAGACACACTATGATGCACCACTAAACTCACAAAAAAGCAGTAACGCTCAAGCTGTTTGATTATAGTTTAAAATTAATGTTACTAGTATAAAATATTCAATGACAACATAAGATGCATTGCTAAATTTGTAGACGGCAAAACAACAGAGCTCAACAAAAATTTATCAAGTTTAATAATGAATTAATTAATCAAGAATTGACATTGCTGCACTTGGGAAATTCCCATATGTGTTCCGTTCCCCTCTTCAGTAACCAACAAACAGCTGACATGCTAACAGTACCGGCTGCAACCTGGTTAAAAGTCTGTTTTTGTTTTCCCTTCAGTGTTGAATATCTTCCAGAACTTCTACCCCCCCCCCCCCTCCCCCCGCTCCCGGGTCAAAAGTCTATTGGTGTATAGATTTCCTATCTGTTCTTTTGCATTGTCCATTTGACCCTTCACCACATCCACTTTATCACACAGCAGTGATCAGAATCACTGATATTGACATAAAATATGTGACAACATATTGATCCTGTCACCTCGAGAAAGCTTTTTATTCCCAGAATTGACAGGTTGCTGTTGATATGAAGCCCTTGGCAGTGACCATAAAGCCTACATAATAGTTTTGGTTTAGTTTTGCTGTAACTGCCCAGTGTGTAGACTAAGTGGGTATGAATATATATATACACCTAAAGAAAATGCAAGATATTCAAAGTGAAAACATTTCGTCTTTTTTTTTTTTATTCTCATGTCATCATTACATTATAATAACCTGATGATGAAAACTGTGCTCCACGTGGGTAAGTCAAGAAAACACTTGTTTCATGGTCAAAGAGAAGGAAAACAGCTAATTCTTTGTCCCATTTTATTTAGTGATTAATTTCCTTACTTTAAAATAATAATCTTTCAGCATAAAAGTTAATAACATAATTATTATTAATTATTTTTGTGACTTGATGGCCATGATGCAGCTGTGGACTTCAGGTTCCCCCGACTGACCATATGTATTCTTCTGGTGTGTTTTTTTTCTAATAAAATTTTGGAAAAGTTCATTTTTAAAGATTATTCTGAGGAGAATGGGTTGAGATAGCTTCACAGAAGTTCCCTAAGAACCTATGTAGGGTACAAAGTGCAGAAAAAAAATATGATTAAAAAAAAGCATCTAACATGATGAGAGCATGATTCATGAGGTTGATAGAATAACCAGAAAGAAATAATGTTATCACAACAATCCATTATTCTTGATGCCAGATGTTTAATTAATTCCACACCACTGAGCATCTGCAAATGTTAGGGCCATATTTTTTATAGACAAATCAACAATCAGTCGGTGAGTGGTCAACATCACGCTGACTACCTTTACTTCACAGCACTTATTTTAGACTCAATCACCCTGGGAGCCAATAATTTAAAAAAATATCCCCCACTGAGTATGTGAACCCATACCTATAGGCTGGCAAGTGTCCTTACATCTCTGTAAGATGTAAGTTGTTATAGAAGGTTGCAGAACCAACCCCAGCATTTGTCTAACTGGCTGGTACACTAAGAAATTTTACGCCATTGCTTTTTGAATTATCAATTCTCAATACCATTATTGAAAACAATGTAAACCGGTCTGCTGCCAAATTGTCTGTAGCTGGAATCACACTGGGTGTCTCAGAATTATGAAGCAGGTTCGCAACGCTTAAGCAACAGACACCAACTTATGTCTGTGTACTAAAGAAACACATATGAATATCTCCTTCTTCTTGTGCATTCTGCACATTGTGTTGTGGTTTACACCAAGTCTGCAATATTTGCGCCTTTCAGCCTAAGACATCTTAATCTTATTTCAACAAAATCTAGTCTGTAAGTTTTAACAGCCCACTTGTTAGGATGGCAGTGGGTCTATTCTGCTTTCATCTCAAAAAATAGTCTTAGAACCCACGTGGGAGGAATATGTGAATATAACTTACCACATTCTTATCACTGGAAGCATCGCCATCAACCAAGCCTATGTGATTGTGGCCTGTAGCCAGGTGAATGCTGTTGTTATGACTGGCATCTAGTTCCATCTTTTCTGCAGGGGTACTGGTGTTTGATTTCCTGTCAATGCACCATTTCAAAGATTCTCTGCTTCGGAAGTCATTTGATTCAGCATGAGCCCCAGACAGTTTTGGAGAACTTCTCTGTGAGTCTACAGATGAAGACACTGAGGTAATGTAGGCCGAGTTAACCACTTTATGGCCAGAGATAGGAGTTGTTGGTTGTCCTTGCTTGTACATGTTGATGATCATACTGTTCATTATATTTGTGCCCTGAGAAAAAAGCAAACAGTGGGAATAAAAGGTACAGGTAACTCCTGAACAGATGCTGGCACAAGGTGTTAACATGTAAACAATAACAACAACTTCTAGATGTTGCAGACCCTGTTCATTGTCTGAGACTACGAGGGGAAGTCATAATTATGACAAAGACTCTAAAAGTGTTGATATCTGATTTGGTCGTCCTGTTGAGATTGCGACAGATGCATCTATGCAGTGGATGAAGGAGATGATTAGAGGTGACAGGCAAGTAATGGTTGACTCTTTATCAGCTACACACAAAATAATGCCCGATCGATTAAAATTTAAGAAAGTGTGCTCAATGTGGGTACCCCAGACTATTTTGTGAATGATGCAGAAGTTGTGTGAAGTGAAAATGTGATTTAAAAAACAGAGCATGCGGTTCTATGCTGCAGGTTTAGGAGGACTGATAAAATGATAGGAAAGTGCAATAATGTTGGTGGAAATTATGTTGAAAAATAAAGGGAAAGTGTATGTGTTGTATAAAAAAGTTGTTACTGTCTTAATTTTTTTTTTAAACAACTATTTATGACTTTCTTACTGACTGCCCCTCGTATAATGAACATGATCTGCAGCATTCAGGTAATATTATACACACGGAGCAAACAGAATTACAATAAAATTGTAAGAAAACAGAAATCATGGTTGCCTACATAGTATCACAATATAACTTTCATGTAAAAAGGAATACTCAGGGTATGTAGTCAAATTTACAAATCAATTTCAAGGCTTTTCAACGGCTTTTTCAAGGTATTAGTTTTTTCAGGTTGTCTCAGTGTAATGCTGAGGTAAGGTATTTTTGCCTTGTTCAAAGGTATACTGTGCAAACACAGTACTTTATTTGTGCACACACATGTGGGTATACCAGCACAGATATAGGTTTTTTTATTTTTAGACTTAGTTTCAGAGGAGAGTAAACTAAAGTACTGTCTGTTCGAGACCTGGTACCTGAAAGGGGGAGGGGGAAGACACAGAATCATACAGAGAGGGAGGAAAACAGATGCTGAAGTAGAGTGGGAGAGAGTATGAAAGACAGAGGAAGACAAGAGTGGGGGAAAGAAGGGCAGGCAGGTAAAGATCGATAGATGAAGAGAGGGGAAAGAAGAGAAAGAGAGACGGGAAAAGGAGGGAAAAGATGACAAAGAGAGGGAGGGATGGAGACAGAGGGGTAGAGAGTGGGGAGGGAGAGCGAAAGATAGACAAATACAGAAAGAGGGATATGCAGATAAGAGAGATGGGCAATGAAAAGAGGAGAAAGAAGAGAATGAAACAAAGATAAAGAAGGAGCAAAAAATATGACAGGGAAGGGACAGGGAAAGAGGGAGCTGGAAGCAGAGATGTAGACAAAAAGGAGGGAGAGACAAAAGGACAGCATAGAGAGGCAAAAATACAGAGGGAGAGAACAACAGAGAGAGAAAAAAGGCAGAGCAAGAGGATGGGAGGGAGGTATACAAAAAGGGAGTGATGGAGAGAGACAAACATAAAGCAAGAGAGAGATGGAGGAGAAAGGCAGTGACAAACATAGACAAAGAAATAGATGGGCAAGAAGGGAGACAAGACAGAGAGTAAAAATATGCCAGAATTGCTAACAAATATAGCAACACAAAGGAAGAAATCACCAGCCTCATGCTGAAACATCATCCACTCCCCCAACCATAACACAATTTCTTGTGTACTGTAATCCACCGCTAGGAAAATACAGCTAAGGGGCAGCAAATATAGAAATATTTTAAGGGGGGGGGGGTGGAATGAGAGAGAGGAGAGCGTAAGGAAATATACAGAAAATGAGAGGATGGAGAGGAGACAAAGAAGACAGGAGAGGGCAAGGGAGAACAGAGTAAGGAAAGGAAGAGAGGGGCAGAAGAGTGGAAGATCAAATGAAAGAAAAGGGGTGAGAGAATTTAAGGAAGACATGGTGGAGTTGAGGGGGGAGCGATAAGAACACTGAGCACTAAAAATAGAACTGGGAAATCTAAGTGACATCACTTTTCTTATTCCCACCCTTTCCCAATGTGAATGTGGCTGTGGTCCATAAACAACAATGCTGACCCCCTTCTGCCCAATGCTTGTCTGTGGCATGTGACTGCAACTGTTTCATTTCTTACACTCAAGGCTGGTGGACCTGGGAGGCAAAGTCATTATTGAAAAAAAGTCGGGACCCCAACCCAATACTTTCCTATCCACAACACTAGTGGAAAATAGGGTCATGGTTCCAGTGGACTCCTGTTTCATTTCTGCTTCTCCAATTACAGAAAGGAAAAGGAAGGAGGCTGTGGTGGGTAGTGTAGAAGGCTGAGATGGAAAGGGGGACACAGAAGAGGTGAGGAGGTGGGAGAGAGAGAAAGAGAATAACAATTACGAAAAGAAATTGGAACTGAGACAGGGAGAGAAAGAAAGGAGAAGGGAAGCATTGGGCACCATATAACCTTGCTAGGCCAACTGAAGGTATGAAGAGAAAGATCGCACCGACGTTAGTCTGTTTTACTTCAAATTCTCCCACTGCGGTGGGCACAATTCCAGGTAAATATGTCCTTTCCAAGATCAACACGTCTTTTCTCAGGTAAAAATCCAAGCTCAAGGTCAGGATAACAATTTCCAGTTAAAAACCCAGGTTTGCAGTTGGCTGCGAACCCTGAATATTTGGCTGTTGCTGGGGGCCCTAAAATAACCCAAAATATGGGTTGAACGGGGTTTCTGGGATCTGCCCCCAGTAGATCCTCATCTGAATGGTGGTATTTTGTGTTATCGGGTGTTTATCGCTCAGTGTGATGTCCAGGTGGGGTAAAACGTCAGTCAGTCAAAAAGGCCTTCTAGGGGTCAGAACAATAATCCTCATGGAGACAGCAACTTCTGGTACCATTTTGAAAACATATTTACAAATGAAAAGTTGTCAACCACTGTTGTGATATTTAAAAAAAAAGTGCCATATGAATCTATATACACGTGACATATGAACAATAAGCAGACAAGCTGAAAATCATCTAGTGGCCAGTGAACATGTGTTTTCTGAGAAAATGCAAAGACCGAAAAACGATTCAGGTGGCCATTGAGGAAATATATATTTCTTAAACTGATCAAGGGTATAGACATGAAGAAATGCTGGACATGTGGCAAATTTATGGATCAGGGTTGAGGGAGGAAGGTTGGGGGAGTTGCTGAAATCAGATCTGTCAAGTTGAAAGGTGTAGATATCACAGCCTAGCTATAAATCACAACATAAACCACTCAATAAAAGAGACCCTGAAACCCGCAGTGGGAACAGTAAAAATTAAAAAAGACTAACTTTATGTTGATCAGCTTCAAAGTCCGCTTCACTGTCACTGCTGAAAGAAACGAAATGAAACGTGACAACTCTGACATGACATAACAATTGTAAATAACATAAAATCCCCAAGATGAAAAAAAAAAGATGTTTATTTTGCTCCAAAATGTAAAGTTTTACAGCTTTACAAGGAACAGGTAATCATCCGGACTCTAGATTTAGAGACAAAAGCGACTTATCTAATCAAGGTGAACTAAAATGAAAATGTTTAAACGGTGCACTGTATGTTATCGGCGCCTGCGAGCCAGACTCAAAATTCCAACGTACAGCGATCGAAACCCACTGTTGGCTGCGTGGATTTTTATCATGGCATGGGGTGTGGCAGGTCGACCCAGCCTAAAAATGGTACCAGGATGGCTGTCCTGGGGAAGTAAAGAAGGCTGACCACATTACCCATCTAGTGCCGATTGGTTTGTAAAAATATGGGTGCTTTTCCCATATGCCCAATGCACCTGAAGGCATGAAAAGGGATCTTCACTTTACTTAGACTGTATGGTGATTCTCTGGAGCAAGCTCTTCAAACCTTCTTAAAGTTTTTTGACAAGACCAACAAAAACAGAAATAACAGCTGACATTATAGGCAGATTAACGGACAATACCTGCTACTGCCATTGGTGGATATCTGAATGCCTTCCTTTTGTAGCTCTTTTCTAGCCACTGCCAAACCTGTTGAATCCAATACACCATCATATCATAAACTGTTGATGTACTGTGCATTTTTTTTTTCGGTTAATGAATTAACAAGCAGATTTGCTACAGTTTTCAAAACAACATTTTTTTTAAACGGGCCTCGAAAATCACTGGCTAACACCGTTCAAAGTTCAATTCTTTTCAATCTAATGTGTACACTAAATTAAAGAACAGCTTATGGCAAACTGGTACTTAAGTTCAAAAACAGCCATGGGGACTATCCAGCCTGAAAATGAAATTGTTGACATTTCTCTGGTCTCTGGATGAATAAAGGCATATGGTACCTTGTGCACTATTCAGTCACTGAAATATATAGTCGATTTCCAATATAATTCTGAAATTTCTCTTAAAAATTGTGCAGCTGCACAGAAAGAAATACTTCATTTTGACCTATATGGGTAGGAATTTATATGTGTCTTTGGCATGTTGTGAAGTGACACACAACAGCAATGAAAATGCACCCATGTAAAGTCTGACAAAACTACACTTATGTGACTTTGGCACAGTACCGAGGAGCGGCTGGACAAACGGTTAGAATGCTGGGCTCTCAAGCGGGAGACCCGGGTTCGAATCCTCAGTAAGGCTGGGGATTTTTTCAAATGGCATATCAGTTGGTATCTTTACATTTTATTTTTCTTCACTGAGTATAATACATTACTGATCACTTAATGAACAAACCACGCACACAAAAAGTGTCACTTAAACTTTGTAATAATAACCTTACCTTTTTCAACTGACTTCACCAAAGCATTCTTCTTCTTTCTAGCATATTCTCTGAAAATTAATTTAGACATAGGAATAAGAAAGCAAACCAATGCACTAAAATAAAAAAGGTATATGCAGGTAGAAATCATTGTTTTTCCCTTTATTATTTTTAATGCTGAAGCAATGAAATGTATATTTTTAACTCTTTCGTTTCCAGGCTGGCACCTTTTAAACTAGTTTATTCCCATCGCAAGTATTTTTACCTACAGATCAACAGGGATTAACATAACATTTGTGGACAGAAGGAATAGAAGTAAAATTTGAGATAGCATGTGTTATTACAAAAGTGGCTCTCCTGTCAACTACGGCCGGTAGACAACAGTAGGCGGCTGGTTAGTCGGAGTTCTGTCCCCTGGCTGCAGTGCAATTATGGACAGGAAAGGGCACGAATCAAAAAACAAAGTGAGGTCGACATGCCTTGCAGACCCCGCGCTGTGACTTAAATTAGCGACTGCGTTCAATTACCGCTTCTTGCGACGCATTACGGAGTGGATTAGAGGGAACAAAAAAGTGACATAATTACTGTGTGTTGGCGATAGACAGCGTGCAGTGCCCTACTGTCATCATACGATTAGGGTTTGGGTTAGGGTTAGGGGTAGGGTGTGGGTTAGGTTTAGGGTTAGGGTCAGGTCTAGGGTTAGGGTTGCTACTTTGAGTTTGTGCGAAGACGAGATGCGGCGACACTAACCGTAACCCTAACCCTATGATCATAGCAGGGCAGTGCACGCTGTCTATCGCCAACACACAGTAATTATGTCATTTGTTTCGTTCTCTCCTGTTCAGTCCGTAATAGCACTGCAGCCAGGGGACAGAACTCCGACTAACCGGCCGTCAACTGTTGTCTACCGGCCGTAGTTTACAGGAGAGCCACAAAAGTGATATGGGGGGAAAATGTGTTGAGAAAAGTATTATGTAAAGAGTAACAAGTAAAGGCAAGGTAAGTTGTTTAGTGGTGAAAGAGATAATGCAGTCACATACAAAAAATCTACATGAAAATGAATGTTTTCTTCTTAAATCGTTATCCTGGATAGTGCTTATAAATTCCTTAATTTGAGTGTTGTCAGGAAGCAAGACTACCTTGCATTATGATTTTCATTTAGCTAAAGAAGCCATTACCTGGCTGAAGATACAGATCTTCACTTTAGCATGATTTCTCAGTGACTCAATAAATATGCTTTAGAAGATAAATATAGGGCGGATCTGAAGAAAGTGGCTGGAGTCTCGGAAGCAGTCAAATTCTGAGGCAGTTAAATTCTGAGACAAAAATTAGTTTCAATTTCATCCCAGGGCAAGCAGGTTTAAAAGACAATGAACAAGTTGATAGGCTTGCAAGTAAGGCTAACATGGAGGTGGTACAAGCAATAATATACTGAATGGCCTACAAGAAGTAAGAAGTTTTGCAAAAATCAAGTGACTGTGCATCTGCAATTATAACCAAACTACAAGACCAGAAAGTGAAAAGGGGTGAAGCCAAAGAAAAGGATCATTTGAGAAGTCAAAGAATAATAGTGAGCCAACACAGAAGGGTGTTATCAGCTGCTACACACTGCTGGATTTACTGAGAAGGAGGTATGACCACTTGTGGCTTTAATGGTCTCATGTGTAATGATTTCCGTTCATTATTTACATATTTTTCCCTGTTACTGTTGTTGGTTTTGACTATGTTTTCTCCTCTGATTATGACATGTCAAAAGATTGCTATCTGTTCCCTACTGTTTGCGATGCAATTTGTTGGGGTCTTGGCTTCTTACAGATGATACATTCAACACTTTTCTATATAAATTATGATGGTTTAAATTGATCTTCTTGCCCTATGAAATGTCTAGGTTTGTACAAAGGATCAACATCATGGCACAAGGGTAGTAACCCATAAGTGCTCCGTTCTACTTCTGACTCAAGCCTGAATCCGAAGAATCTCAGCTCAGTGCACGAAGTTCGTAGCACCAGAAACGTCTATGATTCCCAGTCATATGCATAAATTAATTATATGTAACACTTAAAATTCTTTGTATAACTTACAGTGAACATACTTTCATTACAAGATTTGTTTTTAACTAGATACTCATGGTCGACCAGCACAATATGGGAACAGGACATAAGTGACACCTTGGCCAGGACAGTGCAGGAGGCAGTAAAGCTGGCTAGGAATAGTTTCTTTTGGGCAGGCTGAGATGGGAGCAACATTCTGTTAAGGACTACCTGGACACTGACGACTGAAGAAGAGCATGCAATAAAACAAAAATATCTACTCTCCTTACCCATACTGAGTCTGCAACTCTTCAGTTAAATATGACACACTTGCTCTACCATTGCATGCTCTGAGTATCTGAAATTGAAAACAATAAATGATGTGTGCTGAATCAAATGCATTATATTATCTTAAAAGAATACTTTCTTCTGTTTTGGTGTGCTCTATATTTCTTCCTTGGGAGCTATAGAAGCACAGTGTATAAGTGCTTGCTCTCAAATCAACCGAGCCAATAACAAACCAGAAATTGTTCTGGGAAGAAAACGTGACTGGCATGATGCTGGCCACATCACGATCGAGTGCTGATTGGTCTAAAGGTCTCGCACTATCTGCCTAATGCATCTTCTTCTTCTTTTGTCGTCTCACTGATACCAGGTTGTGTCGTGATTTGCGCTTCACAGGTGGCTTGGCTAATGGATTTGTTTATCTTTTTGCATGTTTCAGCTATCCATCTCTTTCTGTCTTTCCCTCATCTTCCTCCCAGACCTTCAGCTGTAAAAAGTCTCATATGCAGTTTGTTCTGGCTGCATTCTCACTAGATTGCCAAAACATTTCATTCTTTGTCTGTCAGTATTATCCAGACATGGGCTTATTCCAGGTTTCTCTCTAATGAAAGTATTCGTAACCGTGTCCCTTTTTGTGCTGTCAGTGACCTTACCGAAATTGCATTTCACATGTAGTCATTTTTTGTTCTAGTGCCCTATAAAATGTCCATGTCTGGCACTGACAGCATAAAGTGGTGTAACTTACTGCTACTGCACAAGAAATATAGAATTATTACAGGCTATATACATACTGGTGTGAAAAAGATCCTTTACTTTTACACTTCTTTCTTGCTGACCTACATCTGGGGCAGGGGGATAGTGTTTTATGACTTCAACACAAAAGAATGCATTGCTGGGCGTTTTGAAATTGTAATATATAGTTGCAGTACACAGTGAATACACTTCACATGGTGTGCTCAATAATTTATTAAACTTTTCTCCAAGATTAATGAAATGACTTTAAAAATTAACAGTTTTAATTTTTAACTAGGTCTGAATATTTAATATTAAAGCAGCAATGTGACTTTTAGAAAATTTAATTATTATTGCACTATCATTACTTATAAACATTATGTTAACACTGCAAACAGCAATGGTTGGTGTGTTTTTTCAAGGGTAAAAATCTGTGTTGATAGATAATTGCGGTATTTGGTTAATCCTGGTGATCCTAACTCAGCCATGAACAGATGGAATGACGGGAAAGGATATAGTACAATGCTATGTTTATTATACGTCGCTGTACAAGAGATATAGCACAGACCTAGCTCTGAGTCGATGCAGATACGTAAAATCTACAGCACAGTGAAATTAAGATGACAAATAAAAGCAGGTTGAAAAGGGAGGTCGTGGATGAGTCAAGCCAAGGACGTTTCTCAACAAGTGTTTTTATTTGAGGACATAAGGCCCAATGACAAGAAGTGCCAACAGAGGGCTGTACTCCCTTTTCAGTATGCACCTGACTAGACACAAAAAGTGCAGGCATGCTTTCTCAGTATGTTCAGGAAGGTCAAAATAAGCTGGATCCAAAGACAGTGTTGGAGCTTTAAAACTGTCTATCAAAACAGTTACGCTGAGGTGAAAGAAAATGAAAGAGCTGACAGACTGGTCATGTCTGAGTAATTGACTGAGAAAGAAGTATGGACAGGGCAGACATGATAACTACTCTTACAGAATGCACTGCATTCAATAGACGATGAGATAAAAAAGTCAGCGACGAAGAATCGCCTGTAAGAAATGGGTATTCATAAGTCACTATGCTGTTAACATAAATATGTGGTGTTGGGAGACACGCTGAGCTACCTATCGAATAATCAGAAAGTGCGTGACGTAATTCACCCGATACCCATATATGTTAAGTAAATTTTGCTGATTATTTCAGCATCGCAATACAACCGGAATTGATAACTAACTTTTGGTTTCCTGATTCACAGTAGTGGCAGGAAACGGCCTTCGAGTTGTAAAGCACTGATCGCTGGCATTTTAATATGTACGATGTACATGCATGTTCTGAAAGTGCTATTAATTTTTTACTAAGGTAAAGTCAGGAGATGTGAACCAGCGCAACTGCACATGGTTATAAACCATAAGTGCTCTGCCACAAGTACGAACAGTTGTAAGAAACTGTCCACCTGTGTTGTCGTCCGCACGCAAATGTGCAGCTACAGCCACGTACCTCCATTTACCCCAGACTGTTAACGCTGGTACCCATTATCTAGAGGCTGGGTGAACCCCGGCAACCGCCCAGTTTCGAACACTGGCCATGGGCTGCAGCAAGTCACAGCTGGATTTGAAAGTGAGTCTCCTACTGACTGCATTAACGTGGCCCACTTCTATACCAAAGTAAGTATGTAATAATATGTATATATGCACAACTTTAATATAGAATGAGAATAAGCACATCATCATCATGCACACACACACAAAACGGTTGCAGGGCAAAGAAAGAAGGGCTATTCTCCGAATAACGGTCCCAAATTATTGAGGCTAAGAAAATACCCTAACAGGGCCTATGTCATATATAAATTGCGGACCTCTTTCTGGCGACTATACCGCCACCGCTGAGAGTATCCCCTGCACCACTACGTGCGGCACGAAGGGGACTAAACTAGATGGCTGGGACTCCTGAGCAAATAAAATGAATGAAGGAAGCTGCAGGAGATGCCGTAGCTGCTGCTCGTGAGTCCCAGCCATCTAGTTTAGCTCCACCCTGGAGGAAAACTCTCGGCAGTGACTTTAACTCAGCGGAAGCTTTTCCACGGTTCGCAATTTGGCGGTGGCGTTATAGTCCCCGGAAGTGCGCATTTGACAAGTGACTGAGGCCCTGTTACTGTTAGTGTATATTTTCGGCCTCGATAATTTGGGAAAGTTATTGAATAACTTATTCGGATAGCCAAGAAATAAGATTTGCTACTAATCAATTCCTTGCTGTGTACTGTGTACGCTGCGTGAGCATGGAGACACAGATGACTGCTGCGTCAGAGCTGATGTTGATGTTGCTTGCCCGAATGGGTCGGACCTATGTGCTAGCAGTGACTAGTCTGGTGAAGTGAGTGCTGGGAATAGTCTAGGATGTTTGACACATCAATCATCAAAATTAAATCAACAAAACAAGTTGACAAAAAACAAGTCCCTACGCCCTACATTACAACAATTACAAACAACAGTTAAAAACTGTCAAAGAAACTCATTCAATTCAAAATGTGAATCGTCTCTGGTTTCTCTTTTTTAATTTGAATCGCCTAAAAATCAATTTTCAAAAACCTGTTTTATCCGTGGAACGAGGCGATCGTCAACAAAATACGTTGGTTTAGGCATTTCTAGCAGTTTTGTTGCTCTCTTAGTGATCCACACGTGTTTCTTATTTATTGTTTACACTTTTGCTTCTGTGTGTGGGCATTGTCTCCCTTGTAAAGTCGTAACTATCTGCTTTCGTTTTCATCTTTATCATTATCCCTTAGTTGTCATTATCTCTTCTGTCCCACTCACGGAATCAGATGCAAGATACATTAAATAACTGATGCGAGAAAACAACAGAGAAAATATATAAGGAAAATCCAAAGATAATGAGAATAAATCAGGCAAATAGTATTGTGGTTTCTCTGCATCACACTTCAAGACGTGGAGTCGTATAGGTCTACGTATTTGGGCACTAACGTAGAATCTACTGGACGTAAATTTGCCTAGAAAACCACAACCGCCAAAAAATATTGGGGTTCGTTCTTTAATGTCCTGTAAACTTGTAAAGATACGCAACTAACTTTTAACTAATGTGGATACAGAGTAGGGGGGACTCATAGAGATAGTAAAATATGAATACGAAAGGTAAGAGAAGCTTTAATTAATATCACTGGAAAATTTGTGGAGGCCACAAGAAATTAAAACAAACAGTAAACAAAACTTGTCATTCTAATGTCTAATCAGTACACTTGTATGGAGCGGAAACATGGAGAAAAAAAAACGAAGGCAATTACTAAGAAACTACAAAGATTCATGAAATAGTGCCTATGTAGAGCTTCGGCGTCTGTGGTTTAGACGTTGCGAACGCGCTCCGTGATGCCGAGGTGCCGTGTTCGATCCCTGCTGCCGACAATGTGTCTTGCGCTGGTTTTAACAGTGGTATCGAGAGATGACCGTTCAGGAGCAATGGCAAACTGCTGAACTTAAAATGTGCCTAGAAAAACCACAACAGGCAAAAAAATGCTGGAGTTGGTTCTGTAACGTCCTGTAAAGGATACGCAATCTTTGACTCATATACAGCTTTGGAAGAGAATCAAATAAGTTCCATTGGACCAAGAGGTGAAGAAAGGATGCTGGCGTTGGATAGAACACACGTTAAGAAAACCTGATAAAATAATACTAGAATGTTTTTGCACTGGAACCCACAGTGGCGTAGAAATAAAGGAAGACACCACCCCCCCCCCCCTTCCAATCCTCCCCTTCCCCACCCAGTCATCCCCCCCCCCCCCCCTCCCCAAACAAACTTGTGGAAGGAAGCTGGAGAGTGAAGTTAAAATGATGTGGAGAACTGCATGTAATAGAGAAGCATAGAACGACTTGGCGTAAGATGGCTGAGGTGATATGCTCCATTATGGGTTAGAAGGCAGGAGAAGAAGAAGATGATGATGACGATAATTATGATGATGGGGGAGGAGGAGAAGGAGAAAAAGAAAAGGGAGAGGGATTAGACCCGCCGTTTAATGACAAGCATTATGATAATAGGTGTTAGACAACTGAGATCGAAAACAGAAAGAAAGATGGAAAGAAAGGAAAATAAAGTGTTTGTATCAGTTTAACGATAAATACACATCTGGGTCTTTCGTTGAATTATGTCAACAACAACAAAATCTTAACGACAAACTCATGGAGTGGTCGTAGGACCTTAAATGTTGAATAAAGAATCGACAGGAGTAGTATAAGGTGTTGAGAATAGGTCGCAGATCCTCACGGCTCCTTGGTTTATGGGTTGTGGAGTTTCCTATTTGTTCTTCTATATCTCATTTGTGCTGCTCGATGGTTTGGTTCTTAAAGGGGTAGGAACTTTTAGGGAAGAGAAAAGGGAGTAAGAAAGAACAATAGTTTATGTTAGCTTTACACAATCGATCACAATAAACAAACAAAGGACGTTGCGGCGATTAGCCTTCATCGGCACATAAAGAACAAGACAGTACACATACACAAATATGCTTTAACTATGAAGTGACTATATAGGACTCTAATGTACAAAATAAATTATGCTCATCTGTGCCCCTGGCGAAAAACGTCGTTCAAGAGGATAAATAGGATAGGTACTAGCCTATATTTCGCAAACGCGCGGACGGGAAGCAAAAAAACGGGGCCAGTATAACTGGGAAATGGGAGTTCAATATACAGTATCTACACTCATGCTAGAAAGGGGGCAACAGCACTGAATGGTTTGGTGGAAGTCTCGGTGGTATGGTGGATGGCTCGTTGGTTTGGTGGGAGGCTCCTGTTTCGATGGGAGCCTCGGGATGGTTCCTGGTTTAGTATCGACTCGGATTTTTTATTTTCTTATTGCGGGTATATTTTATGTTGTATATAAAGTGGTCTTGTTAAAGTAAATTGAAAACTTCAAATGGTTTAGTTAATGAATATCAGGATATATATTTATTAAATATTATTATGTACCATTAAAAAGGTAAAAGCTAAATTTAAAAAAGTTGAAAAAGTTCAAAATAGAAAAAAAAAATTCAAATGGTCAACAATTTTTAAAAGTTTAAGAAGTTCAAAAGTTTTACAAGTTTTAGAATCTTACAATGAATTTTATAGTAAGTCTAAACTAAAAACATTGCGTTATGTTCTTACCACAGCTAACTCTATAGATTTATAGCTAAAGATGGCCGTGGTTCTTACTAAGCATTTAGACAAAAAGTAGGCAAGTGACAGTTACTTTTACTCTAAACAAATCAGAAGTCTTTCAGTTTTTCAATTCTGGTAACACTAAGTACAATCTTTTAGACACACGTATATACACAAACTACTGTTGGTGCGTGAATGACAAAAGTTATGGTCGAGAGAATCCATTTTAATGTAGCGGGTTTATCGGGTTTATCCCAAATGGCTCGGTGTCTCTCAGCAGAGCAGCTAGCAGTCTGCGAAGTGAGTGGCACACAGCACGAACTCTGAGCTAATTTGGAAGACTTCCTGTGTCAGAGACCTTTTCGGGCACTTTTGACAGAACTGTCTTCAACAGAGTACCAATTAAACAGAGATCAGATTGTAACACTGACAAAAAAAATTGTGAAAGTCGTCGACATGGTTGACATTGACTTTATTAGCTGCATATTTACTTGGAGAACACCTGAATTCAAGAGAAATTTGACTAAAAAGCTCAACAAAATGGGAAAGAGGAAAACGTGCACAAAACAACACAACGTAACGTTTCGGCCGGGCAGCCTTTTTCAAACACAAGTGAAATACACAAACGAGGAATGGAGAGTATGTAGATCTCTAAGGGGTGACGTGAGCGACGTTTAAAAAATGTGATGCGGAATAAATGAAATAAAATAAAATAAACGATGGCTAAAAAAATAGTCACAATACTGGGAATAAAAGAAATGCAAGTGTTAATGATACATAAATGATATTGATAAGAAATAGAATATGGTAATAATATGAAATAAAATAAAATAATTAACATTTAAAATGTGATAAGATTAGAACTATTTAGATGAAGGTATGTTGGATATTGATACCTCTTGGACTAAGAACGCCAAGGCTGTGGATAAGGCGATTTTCCAAAGCGAGGCGGGTAGTATGATCGCCAGAGCAAGATTTTAATGCTGTGACAGATATGTCATCTTTACCGCTGTGGTCAGGGCTATTGAAATGCAGAGGGATTGGTTTGAGTGTCTTTTTGTCGATATCAGAGAGGTGTTCCCGGAAACGATCAGCTAGCTTCCTGCCAGTCTCCCCAATGTATGCCTTGCTGCATCGTTTGCAGATAATTGCATAAATTACGTTGCGGGATTCGCAAGTAAAAGGTTCCCTAATTTGAAAAGAACCATTAGGGAAACTGACCAAAGAAGTTTGGACAACGAAAGGACATGTTTTGCAGGTGCTGCGTGAGCACTGAGTAGTCCCAAGAGGAAGTGCTGTGTGGATCGGTGGGAGTCGGCTTCGGACAAGTATGTCTTTAAGGTTGCGATCTCGTCTGTAAACTAATCTAGGTTTCTCACTAAAGATAGTCTTGGTGTCCGGATCAGAGCGGAGGATGTCTAAATGACGAAAGAATACTTTGGAAGCAACCACATTGTTAGGGTGAAAAGTCAAGATCAATTTAGGTCCATCATTGGTGGAGTTACGTTTTGTAGGAAAAGCATCTCTCCTGGTGATTGCTAAAACTTTGTTTAGAGCCCCTTGTAAAATGTGTTCCGGATAGAAACGGGCACGGAAGAATTCAAGAAGTTCAACTGATTTATCAAAGAAGTCAGAATCGTCAGAGCACAACCTGCGCAATCGAAGGAGCTGTGAATATGGAATAGAATTTTTACACGGTAGTGGGTGAGAAGACGAATAGAGGAGATAACTGTGAGAATCCGTGGGTTTGTAGTAGGCTGTGGTTTTCAGACACGGGAAATCGATGCTAATCGTGATGTCAAGAAAGTTAACTGAAATGGTGGAGATCAGTGAGGTGAATTTGATAGCCGGATTAAAATTGTTGATGTAAGTAATAAATTGGTCAAGCTCAACCATGGACATTTCGGTGATACCAACGCCATCATCTATGTATCTCCTATACACCTCCGGAAACTTGCCCGGGTATGATAAGCTGACCTCGTATTCCAGGTGGCCCATAAAGAGGCACGCGTAACTAGGACCCATCTTGGTGCCCATCGCAACCCCACTGATCTGGTCAAAATACTCACCATTGAACTCAAAAGAGTTGAGGGTCAGTACCAGTTCGGCAAGGCGTACAAGAACTGAAGTAGGGATGATCGGGTTGGACCTTCTGTCCAAAAAGAACTGGAGTGCTCTAAGACCATCAGAGTGAGGGATAGACGTATAGAGGGAGCATACGTCTATCAGGAAAAGATGATAGGTTTTACCGGGAAGTAGTCTGATGGATTCGAAAATGTTGAGGGCATGGTTGGTGTCCTTGACAAATGAAGGGAGACTGGTGACAATCGGTTGGAAAATACTATCTAAAAATTCAGAAAGATACACCGTGGGACAGGAGCATGCAGATACAATGGGACGTCCAGGGTTGTTGGGCTTATGGATCTTAGGCAGCAAGTACATACACGGTTTGCCAAGTTGGCTGTCAAAAACACGCATATTGTTGGCCTGCTTAGGAA